CATTCAAATCTTGGGTGCAGACCTACATACCACTCCACAAGCCATGCTGTGGTGGCATCCCACATACAAAATAGAGGAAGATTGGCACAGATGTTAGCTCAGGGCCAATCTTCCTCACACACACACAAAAAAGCATAAAAAGAGTAAGTATCCTAAAATCTACAAAATATTACTGAGATAAAATAAAGAAGACCTAAGTAAATGGGGAGATATACCATGTTCACAGACTGGAATACTCAATATTGTTAAGAGTGAAGAGTGTAAGTCCTTCAACACAAGCAAATTTCAAATATCTACTGTATTGTGTCTGTTAACATCCTGGTAGTCAAAGAGAGTCACGTGGCCAAGTCCAACATTAATGAGGTGAGACTGTCTACTTCTCCTACAAAAGAGAGGAGGAGGAAGATAGTTCTGAGGTATAATTCGACTTACCACAATGGTCACTGAACATTAGTGATATTACCATCCCTTGGATTTAACATAATCCATGGGAAATGGTTGTTGAACGATGACTAAATAAGCATCTTCTTAGAAAAGTGTGCCAAAGATCACTTATATTTCAGTTTGGAAGGATTCTTGTTTCCAAAATCACAACTAGAGTGTCAGGACCTTACCCTATGGTGACAATGTCACCTCAACATCCACCTCCCTGAGACTCTACCATCACCACAGTCTCACTCCTGGTTGAAAAGGACTTATGACAAGAGCTGGATGGCAGCACCAAAATATCCTCAACATGATTCTTGCTAGGAGTGGGGAATTGCCATTTTTCCCATCCTGTTTTCTGAAGAATTAAGATATAGTGTTGGATTGAACATGCATAACAATAGAAAATAATCTCAATTAATTATTGTCCCATAATTCTACACACCTACTCTATAGAGTTCATTCTTCCTTTCCATTTGGATGAAATTTAGAATCAACCTGTTGACATTTCTTGTCACGCTTAAATAATAAAACGTTCTCTATTTCCTCCAGTATAGTAACCATAAACTCTGAACTCCACATGAAGTTTTCATTTCTATTTCCCCACCTTGGACCTACTGAAGAGGGAGAGGCTGCAGGAGTAAAGAGATGAATATGGTCAACTTCTCCTCTATTTTCCCCAGCTAGAGCTTTTTCATTCCTTCTCTACTCACTCGGTTGCCTCTGATCCCTCCAGGGTTAAGGAGCGTATCATTTGGGGAAAAAGTAAGGAGATAAGAGAGATCTTACTCGACTGGTACTGTGCTGAGTTAGTGTCAAAAACCACGAAGGGTCTGAGAGTTCATCCTCCTTGCAAGTTAACAAGTTAGCCTGCTAGGTTCATGGATGCTGCCAAGACTCCCAGGTCAGAAACAAAGGACTTTACTGCTCACGGTACAGTAAACAGCATGAACTTTATATTTATATCAGTTCTTGTCCCCCAAGCCCTGTGGGGGCAATGCAAAATGGCCTGGGTAGATGCTACACAGGCAATGAGTTTGTGTCACAGCTGAAGAACCCTAAGCTTAGGAAACACCAGTCTTTTATAATAGGCTTCAAGCAAATCAGACCAACCTTTGTCTCAGAAAGAGACATTGTCTTCATTATGTTGCACATGAAACAATTCTTCCCTCTGCTCTAGAGAGAAAATCTATCTTCCATGACGTAGAGATCCTGTCTGTTGGATTAATTTCTGAATCCCAGTGCCTAAAACAGTGCCTAGCTCAACAACATTGAAGAATAGAAGAATAAAAGTTTGGGAGGATGGATGTTACGGCAGCCATGGAAGTGTCTAGAATCAAGCAAGGACAGGGGCTGCAGGAAGCAAGGGCACCAGCTCTGGCCACTCCAGCCATTGCTCCCCATTCTCAAATGTTCCAACAACACTTTGTGTCCTCTGGTGCAGAAAAGTTTTCGTTTCATCAGGAGGCTCCAGTAAGCGGTGCTCTATATCCTACTCCTCTGGCTTTTTGTGATTCCCAAGTAAGGACTGTGGCCTCCATCTACCACAATTTTCTGCTCTGTGCTGCTTTGCTCTGTGACGTAATGTTCCCCTCAGGTAATTAGCTGGTTGAAATCAACTCTGCCAGCTGCCTCACTTAGGCTTAAGCATTCTGGAGATCCAGTAAACAAAGAAGAGGCTGTTCTGTACAAAATATTTGTTGAAGGAATAATTAAAAAATGACTTTCTGTGCCAAGGTCATTGCCTCATGTTCTCGTGCATTTTCTCCATTAGGAAACCAAATCCCAACCTTTCCAGAAAGAAAGAAAGGATGTTGAATAATCTCAGGTTAACAAAAAGAGGCATCCACTCTGGAATTGCCTTCATACACACCAGATATTACACGCAGCCCTGCGGGATAGCAAGCTGAACAAAATGAGAAATGTGATGGAATACTCAGGACAGAGAAGAAAAAGGTTTTCTCCATTTCGAAGACTTACTTAATTCCTTAAATCAAGTCTAAAACTTTGACCACCCAAACGATCTGCAGCTCAAGCACTACACAGAAAATACTGGATCCGATTCTGTTTGGAGCAGTCAGCATGAAATGTAATGAAATTCAAAATAGACAGGATACACATGCTCCAAAGGGAAGTCATTAATACCCATGAATAATAATAAAGCAAAATACCATCTGCCAGGATAATGTGGCAAATCTTTTTAAAATTCCAATTAGTCTATACACCAGAAACAGGGAGCAAATATGCTCCCCATGCCATGCGAGACCATGTGTCCTTGATGTCTCCATCTCTTTATATGCAGACTAAAATGTGGGTGATAGGAACGTTACCCATGTATGAATATATTTTGGAGGATGCATTCATTATTCCTTAGGACACAGGTGCTATTTATGTACCCGGGTGGAACAGAATGTGCTAATTAAGGCCGCATATGTATTTTCACATGTATTTTAATTGCAGGAGTGTCTGTTATAAACACAGTATATTAATTCTCCCACAACAATGTGGTTGGGCTTAATCCTTATATGTATTTGGAGTCGGAGATAATGAAGCATTTCTATTGCCCTATTTATCCCAGGGAAAATTGCTCGTTTATGATGGATTCATATATTCTAAGCCATTTTCCTGAGCTGCATTTTATGAAGCACATAGCTATTAAAATCACAATATCCATTATCAGAACTATTGTACTATAGCCTGAAAAGAAATTGTTCTTATTACGAATGCATCAAATAGTTCTACAGGCCGACTAGTCCATCACTTGTCTTTTGAAATATCTCAAGAAGCAAAGCGACCTACTTCTGAACACTGACATTTCCCAGTCTCTCTTGATTTTCCATGCTCTGTTGTAAACAGCATCGGAATTAGTAGACTTGGAATTTCTCATCCCAGTGCTCTCATTACTCAGTTGTGTGCTTTTTAAAAGTCACTTGGTTTCCTCGTCTATAAAATGTCTTCCCTGTCTCAAAGGGAGACTATTGTAAAAACCAAAATAAGTAAATGTGAAAAGGATCTTTGAAAAAGTTTTAAAACCCTCCAGTAGTATAAGTCATTTTTTTATTGTCATGATGAGATAAAGTAGGCATAATTGTCTGCGGAGTATTAAGAGGTAGAATTATACATTAAAAGGAGGACAAAGAGATCTCTCACAGGCTTGCAGCACGGCCTGGATGCTAGATTAAGCATCTGTTGTTTAATCGGCGGGTTGCTGTTCTCGATGATCTGTCTCCTTCCTGGGCTGGGACTGAGGCGGAGCCGATCCCCAACCTGCGAGCTCCTTCCGTTGAACGCCAGGGAGGTGTGCTTTGATATGCAGGCTGTTTAAGTTTGGGTAATAGGAGTTACATTGGAATAGGGTGCTACATTCCAATTATTCGACTATTAACAACATAACAAATTTCCACTATGGATGAGTTGAAAACAAGGCGAGTTGTATGATTTTCTTTTTCATTCCTAAAGTCATTTGATTCAGCATGCTTCAGAACGCAAAACCCACATCCTCCCACACATATCACATCACAGTTAGCAGGTGAGGCAGAGGAAACCCTGGGTAGCTGCAGATAACCTGCAAAGCAGGTGATTCGTGTGCAGATATTCAAGAACTTCCTGTGACAATCATATCTGCAGGCTTGGGCTCCATATCAATTTATGTCTGGACACACTTTAGCCTAGCAATTTTATTTCTAGGAATCTATCCTAACAAAACTACGTGTGCACTAGGATATGTATGCAAGGATGTTCATGAAGTCCTTTAACAGCAAAGAATTGGAAACTATAAATGCATCTATAGGAACGTGATTCCATAAATTATAGTACACTAACATAATGAGAGAATACACAGCTGATGAAAAGGAAGGGAGGTCTATCCATATATACTTCTCACAGAGATCTCTAAAACAGAGCATTAAAAGAAAAGAGCACTGTGGACTCTGGTGATAATGATGTGTCCTCGTAGGTTCATCAGTTATAACAGACGTACCACTCTGCAGGGGATGGTGATAATGGGGGAGGCTGTACATGTGTAGGGGCAGAGGATAGAGGGGAAATCTCTGTACCTTCCACTCAATCTTGCTGTGAAACTAAAACTGATCTAAAAAATAAAGTCTAGGGGCTGGCCTGGTAGCATAGTGGTTAAGTTCGTATGCTCCGCTTCAGCAGCCTGGGGTTCACAGGTTCGGATTCTGGGAGCAGACCTATACTCCCCTGAGCAAGTCATGCTGTGGTGGCATCCCACGTACAAAATAGAGGGAGATTGGCAAAGACGTCAGCTCAGGGACAATCATCCTCAAGCAAAAAGAGGAAGATTGGGAACAGATGTTGGCTTAGAGCCAATCTTCCTCACCCTTCCTCCCCAAAAAATATTTAAAAAAAAGAAAAGAAAAAGTACATTACAAAGCATTACATAAAGTACAATCCCATTTAGGTAAAATATGAAGTAAAAATAGAGATGTGTGTATATGCATATAAGCAGATGCACAGAGAGGGGGCCGAAAGGATAAAAGAACACACACCAAATGCTGCAGTGCGGCCTCTGGGAAATGGGACAGGGGCAGCAAAGAAGAGATGGTGGAAAAGGCGTTTAACCTTTTATTTTAGGAACTTCTACAATGTTTGAGTGCTGTCCAGAGTAAATGCAGTCTCGTATGTCTTCTGAAGGGGAGAAAAACACCACACAATAAAACGCTATTATAACAAACAAACTAAATGATAGGATCAAAGATGAGCCAAGAGCCAGTCATCCTTTAAGTCAAATGCTGGGTCTGAAAACGAACTAGCTCAAATAAATAAGACAGAGTCCTCCTGGAATGCTGCTAACAAAATAAATTGAATAGGATTGCTTTAATCTATACGATCCAACTAAAGACAAAAATCCTGGAACCTTAGCATAACTTTAAATTATATATATATCTCATTTATTGAAATATAAAGATCTTCATTTACACGTTTTAAAACAAAAACACGAACAGGAGTATTTGTAATACATTTTGTATCGTAGACCCTTCCTATCGAGTTAGTTCTTCTCACACATTTACCACACCACTGTTTTGGGAACACTTACGTAGTTTTCTCTTTATTATTTCTAAAATATAAATTTTGGACATTCAAAAGTGCAACAGTTAATGTGCCTGTGGGGAATATCACAGTTAAAAAAATATAAACAAAGGCAGTGATACAGCTTGTCATAAACGTTTTGGCAGTATTCTCCAAGTCTATATAGAAATACATATATACACATTGATGTATAACATCATTTTATCTCACGTCCCTCTTCACAAAAACAGGACCACTTTGTACAGATTGGCAGACCACATTTTTAAGGACATCATTGATCATTTAAAAAGTCACAAATTGGGTTTCTCAGGCCAGCTTTGATTGTCTTCATAAAAATAGAAAGCAGGAAGGATTGGTAAATTTTCATCCGGGGGCTTTGCAGGAGGCCAAAAACAAAACGAATCTGTGATGCATTGAAAACACTGTTTAAAAAAAAAATGCAGGGGCCACCTGGTGGCATAGTGGTTAAGTTTGCATGCTCTGCTTTGCCCAAGGTTCGCTGGTTCGGATCCTGGGCATGGACCTACACACCGCTCAGCAAGCCATGCTGTGGTGGCATCCCACATACAAAATAGAGGAAGACTGGCACAGATGTTAGCTCAGGGCCAATCTTCCTCACCTCCAAAAAAAAAAAAAATGCAGTCACATACAAACTCAGGTGGGAGCATTCATTAGGACTGGAACCTGCTGGTCTGAGAATTTTCATCCAGCCTCATGATGTCACACAAGACTCAAAGGAACATCAAAATGCAAAGCACCAAGAAAAGAAGGCTGTACATGGGAGAGTGAGTGGTAAATAGAATGCTCGAGCTGTGATTCTAGAAACACATATGTATTTCAAGTCTAATTGGTTCTACAGAACCTAGTCAGGTTTTCTTTTTTAATTGGCCAATCTGGCTCAGTCTTCACACTTACTATGAAAAAGGTGGATAAGAAATTCGGGGCTTGCATTGAGATTACACCAGTAGGTAGTCAAGTACCTTGTTATTGCTTCTCCATCTTCCAGAGCATCACCTGCCAGGAGCACATACAGTGATTGCAGTAATCATGCCCATGTTTCATTCATATGGTGTCAGCAATGTTAAGCCATACTGCAAAGAATGCCAATGAGCTCACACCCACCAGCGTGACTGTTTAGATGGATGCAACAATTTGTCCTCCCATTAACACCAAAATTTCAGTAAAACTTTTAAATTTTTTTCACCCAAAGATTGACCTGGTTACACAGAGACTCAGCACACAGAAGTGCGTCCTTTGTGTTCACGCCTTTTCCGGGGGAGGAGGGCAAGTTCAGTTCCCCCATTCAGAGAGAAGCAGTGTCTTTACTTTTAGAAGACCTGCCAAACCAAGATTTAGCTTTCCCAGCCTCAGCTAAGACTGGAAAGTTCAATTAAGGGTAGCAATTGCTAGATAGATAGCATTAAATGTCAACTGACCCAGCGCCAAGGATTCAAATGGTAGGTTTCCTATATGGTTGACTTCCAGCCCAGTTCCACATTTCAAATTATTTTTTTCCCATGGCAACTTCCTGTAACCCAAGCTGGTGTTTCCCAAACCTGGCTGATCAGAACAGGCAGGGAGTTTATAAAAACATAGGTTTCTGCTCCCCACCAGACCTAATGATTCGGAATCTTTGGGATGGGGACCTAGGATCTGGGGACTCTGGTTGCCAGTTACATTTGGGAACCAAGGATCCAGGCTCATGCACACACAGCCTCCACTAAACAATGCCTTTATAGTCTCAGGGTTTCAAACTACTCCTCTTTGGGGTAAGAGATGAAGGAAGGCAGCTGATGTGCAGGGCATCCTTCCAACTCTTGTAGGGTTTGTAGAATTTAAAAACTATGTATGTTGGGGCCCACCAAAGTTATCACTAGGCATGAAAAAACCTCTGCAAATCCAGTCTTTCTGCTGATGACCATATTTTCCATTGGTAACAACATGAGAAGTCCTGTTAGGCATAGGCCTGCCTTTCTATTGAGAATGTTTAGGATTTAGGGGGTTGGTTTGCTTTTCGAATCCCATTACTTCAGAGGGCAGTTGATTGTTTAGTACAAGGGACTAGGGAACCTACTCAGTACACAGTTAAAAACTCTGACTTCCTGGAAGACACTACTTTTACTTTGTTCTCTATGTTCAACTAAATTTAATCCACTAAAGCTATTACCATATTTTATAGAGAAACATATGTTATTTAATATAAATGTCAAAAACTGTCAAACTTGTCACCTACTTAGTAAGGATTTTTAAAAATTGTGCTTTCTCTGTAGGGAAAACGTGTTACATATTATACATTTAGCATTACTGATAACAGTAGTATTATTATAAACATAGATTATAGTATAAAAATGAGTTGCTGGGCTTCTAAATGACCCAAATCTATCAAATGAGTTCGGTTAATTGTTATCTTTTATCCTTTAACACTAAAAAAAAAGGAAAATGCTATAGTACCAGTACCTTTTAAGGTTCAAAAGTGGTTTTGCATGTACTTCATAAAAAATTTCAACAGCAGCTGACACCAGGTTTCAAGCGGGAAGTACATGGATGGGTTGAGTGGTCTTTTCAGAAGTCCAGAGAAGACAGTTAATACAAATCTAAACACGCCCTTGGTTAGAGTTATTTACATAATTACAATGCTGGAGTTTTGTTGCAGTAAAAAATGTGTATGTTGGAATCTCACCAATGCCCTTGAAATACAAAGTTCGTCTTCCACGGCCTATTATTTCCTTGTCCGTCTACTTCCAAACTTCACACACCGCTGAGATGCTACTAAAGCACTGCCAAGAGGCAGTGCTGAAAAAGTTCACTCCAAAATATCTCATCCATTCATATTTAGAAGGCTCCCTGAGGCCCTTGGCTGGGAACTTCTCTTTACACGTCATCCAAGTCCTCCTCTGAAACTCTGCACTGCAGTAAAGTGGTTTTCGTGAAAGGATCCAAGGTGGCTCCAGAGGTGGAAGGTACCCCTTGAATCTGCCAGTTACAGGAAGCTGTCCTCCACCAGGTCTGAGGAGTCTATGCCAATGTCGTCCATCATGTCGATGTCCTCAATGGTCTCATCCTCTCTCTTAATGAAGGTAGAACTGCTGGAACCTGTCTCGATGGCACTCTCTTCAGAGGTCTGCGAGCTGGAGGAGGGAGAGAATAGGAAAGCTTATGGCCCACGCACAGACCAACTAGACCACGGTGGCGTTTCTAAGGTGGCCCCCCAAAGGCAAAGGAGCTCTTCCTGTAAGATCCTTTGGCTTTCAAATTCAGTCTACTTAGTTGGGCAAGATTCTGCCACCAAGTCAGACAGCTACTCATCATCCGTTGCACTGCAGAGGTCCACATGGAAAACCCAGATCCACAGGTCATCTCCACACTTCAGCTTTCCTTCTCTTCTGCCAAATTTTTCATCGAAGTTGCTAACAGGCTGCAACAATCTCTACTTTCCCTACTGAATCCTAATGGGAGAGAAAATCAGCAATGCCCGATCAAAAGGGCATGTGAAGACTCCTTACTTACTAGACTAGTGGCTGCGAAGGTGCGTTCTAGAGTCAGAAAGCCTTAGGTCTGAAATGGTCCACCACTTACTAGCTGTGGGACTTCACACAAGTCACTGAACCCCATGAACTCTATAAAATGGAATGACAGTAATGCTTGACAATTTTCCTGTCTGTCAGGGTGATTCAATAAGGTAAGAACCATAAAGCACTGAGCACAGCGCCTAGAACATAATAAGAGCTCAATAAATGTTAGCTATTATTATTCAAACTCTTACCTGAATTTAAATAGGGCCTGGTTATTAGATGATGTCAGGGGATAGTTGTTCATTTGCTTACGTGTGATCATGCTATTATGGTTATGGAGGGGAGTATCCTTATTCCAACAAAATGTGTGCTGGAGTTTCAAATGATTTAGTAAGGAAAAAAAACTATGAGAGTGTGTGTGTGTGAGTGATACACCTATTATATCTTACAGCAAATGTGACAACTGCTCAATCTACATGGTAGATGTATTCTCTCAATTTTTCTCAATATTTAAAATTTTTCACAAAAATTTTTGGAACATAATCTTCCCGAAAGTCTCTAGCCTGTCACAACTCCCTGTGTCTTCTACCTTCTCTGAACTCCTACTGTCTTATTGTTATCTTGCCTTGTACTGATACATTTTTTTTTTTTTTGCTGAGAAACATTCAAGCTAACATTTCTTGCCAAACTTCCTCTCTCTTTTCCTTCTCCCCAAAGCCCCAGTATATAGTTGTATATTCTATTTGTAGGTCCTTCTAGTTCTTCTATGTGAGCTGCCACCACAGCACGGCTACTGACAGACATGTGATGTGGTTCTGCACTTGGGAACCGAACCTGGGCCACCAAAGCGGAGCACACTGAACTTAGCCACTAGGCCACCAGGGCTGGCTCGAGTGCTACATTTTTATGTATATCTTTTTGCTCCAAGCAGAGCATCATCTGCTGACAGGCAGGACTATGCTTCTCCTCCTCACTATGAGGCTGTAGCACTGGGCTATATACATAGCACATAAACTACACTGTTGGCTGGCCAGCCAGAGGAAGGAATCTTGTGCCCACATACCAAACAGGGGCTCTCAGCCCTTGCAGTTGTTTCCTGCCTATCAGGCCAGGCCTGATTCCTCAGCCTTTCTCTCCTCCTCTCCATTCAGTTTCCAAGCAGAGGACTGAACCCGGCCAAGTAAAAGCCTACAGGAAACAGCCTGCTGCCACCCACCCCAAGGCCCCTGTGACTCAGAGAGCTCTTAGAACCTACAGGGCTACTGAACTGAGGTTTCCCTTCACAACCCCACAGACTCGGCCCTTCCCTGTGATGGAGCTTTTGCCTCAGTTCCTGGTTTGTATTCCACTCTACCCCTGACTTACACCCCGGTCATGGAGCCTCCTTGTGAACCCTAGTCCACTTGGCTCCTCTTTTTTTTTTTTTCTGATTTTTCTCCCCAAATCGCCCCCCCAGTACATAGTTGTATATTTTAGTTGTGGGTCCTTCTAGTTGTGGCATGTGGGATGCCACCTCAGTGTGACCTGATGAGCGGTGCCATGTCCGTGCCCAGGATCCAAACCAGCAAAATGCTGGGCCGCCAAAGTGGAGCACTCGACTTAACCACTTGGCCACAGGGCCGGCCCCTTGGCTCCTCTTGAGAACTGTCTAGTCCTAAGAGCCCCTCTCCCCAGGAGGCCAGACCTGGTTCTTGGGGTCCTGGCCAATGGCTGGAGGCCTGAGTCAACCATTGGATATTGACCCCAACCCAGCTAGGACCTGCGTTTATGACACTTCCTTGGATGCTGTGATTTGAACTGCTGGCCCTCTCCTTGGGGGCGAGTTCTACAGCTGAGTCCTACAGTAGAGTCAGTCCCCCTGGCACTCACCTCCTGGGCCTGGCATACTTCTCTCTCTGTCAGTCCATCTCATAGAGAAAAGACAGGGGTGTGGGTACAGAAGAAGCTGACTTCCACCGAGACGAGCACCAGATCATCCTTGCTGCTTGTCAGGATTCGCAGTGGGTCCTACAGCTGATGACTGGGCCTACTTCTGGTTCCTGAGCCACAGTGCCCACCTTGTAGCCTGGAGCTTGGCTTCTGATAGGTTCTGACCTGTCACCACCAAGCCCTCTACAGCAAGGCCCTGCCTTCCTCACGCCTAGTCCTCTCCCAAGACCAAGCATCCTGAGGCTGAGGAGAGGGCTCCTCTGGACCACCATGCCGACTCCTCCTAGCCTGCCTAGACCCAGAGCATCCCAGCTCCGGGCTTCCCCTCACTTTTATGAGCTGAACTGTGCCCCCACCCCCAAATTCATAAGCTGAGGCCCTAAACTCCAATGGGACTATATTCAGAGATATGGCCATTAAGGAGGTAATTAAGGTTAAATGAAGTCACTAAAACGGGTCCCTAATCCCATAGGACTGATATCTTTATACGAAGAGGAAGAGACACCAGGGATGCACACACAGAAAAAAGCCGTGTGAGGACACAGCAGGGAGGCGGCCATCTGCAAGCCAGGACAGAGGCACTAGAGAAACCAAACCTGCCAACCCCTTGATCTTGGGCTTCCAGCTTCCAGAACTGTGAGACAATAATTTTCTATCATTTAGTGCCCCCAGTCTGTGGTCTTGTGTTATGGCAGCAGCCCAAGCTACGACACTCACCATGCTCAGCCCGCCTGTCGGGGCCACAGTCCCCCCTGACCTGGTGTAGTCGTTTGGGACATACCTTTTACAAGTCAAAGATCAGACGTACCACCCTTTCAGGAGTTCTCTTCCTCTAATACAACAACTACCTATCAACTAAAATTGTTCTCGGTCATGGAGCCTCCTTGTGGAAGATGTATCAAATTCTGCACTCCAGCCTTGTGTACCCCTAGAAAAGTTCTGAGGACCCTTCTTATGTTATTTATCCCAATGTGACTTTCTAACTTTATTTAGAAGCAGAACTCTTTTTCACAACTGAAATATTATTCAGAGCCCACAAATACAAAGAAACCAAATGGATGGCAGATGTGGGCTTGAGCGCTCGGAGACCACTGCTCAGCCTTCTCCCATCCCCATGCAGTTCTACCACAGATCCCCAAACTTGGAGAAAGACTGTTGCATAAGGAATATAAGCATATTTTATAAACTGTCCTGAGCAAAGGATAATTAGATAGGTAAGTCATACAGGCCACTTTGCCCTATCTCCAAATCTCATAACACATCCCCAAAAAACAAAAACAAAAAAATCTTTGTACTTTTAAAATTACCTGGTGCATACAAATAAAGGCTGTCTATACCTTACACCTAAATTGGTTGAGAGAGGTCACAGCTCTAAGCCTCCAAAATAATAATGCAACGTGCCTAAATAATTGTATGTAGTCAACTGAACAACTGAAGAAGAAGAGAAAACAACATCCTAGACAAAGAGGGAAAATAAGAGACTCATAAGCAACTTGGACCTTGAACCTGGACCTTGAACCAGGGGACCTTAAACCTATCACCTTCTCCTGCCTCTGTTTAAAGGCTATGCAGAGAGCAGGGAATTGGGGCATGGTCTCCATCTGGACCACGTAAACCAATGGTTCTAGTCTTGGCTGTGCATTAGCAACACCTGGGTAATAAATTAACACATCTAGATAATGATCACCAGTGATTGTCAATGTCACAAAAAGACAACCGAAGAGTAGGGACCTCCTGATGGAAGTACACAACACCATCTCTGAAGCACGCCTGCCAAAAATCCAAGCTGAGTCAGATCAAGCCTCTAGACCAACTACCAGTTTACGACAAATACAGGAGACAGAAGCATGTGATAAACCACACTACGAGATGCAACCAGCAAAATTCTGAATGTGGGAATTCTAGAGGCAGACACTCTGGGTTCTTCACAAATAACACGTAAGAGGGCAAAAAAGAGGCATGATGAACTTAGAGACCTATCAACCAAATGCAACATGTGACTCTTATTTGGGTCTTGAATAGAAGAAACCAAATGTAAAATAATATTTGTGAGAGAATCATGGAAACTTGAACACTGACTGGATATCTGATGCTTTTAATGATTTATCGTCATTTTTGAGGGTGAGATAATGGTATTGTAGATATTTTTAATAACTTTTTAACTGTAGCTATTTTTAAAATAGAGCCCTTATCTTTTAGAGATATACACTGGAATGTCCATGGATGAAAGGATATGACGTCTAGGATTGCTTCAAAATAATCTAGAGCGGGCAGGGGAGGAGGAGTAGATGTGATCATGCATGCAGATCAGCCATGAATTCATAAACACTGAAACTGAGTGACACATTGCCTGACAGTTCACTATACTTCTTGAATTGTGCATGTTAGAAAACTTCCACAACACAAAGTTAAAAAGAAAGAAAGAACAAATCAGCCAGGGAGCGCTTGGGCCCCACTCCCCGAGATTCTAATTTGTGGGTCTGGGTAAAGTTTGTAGATCAGTAGTTTTTAAATCTCCCCAGGTGATTCCAACTTGCAGCTAAGGTGAAGAACCACTGAGGTAGCATCAAATAGCCCGGTCCAGCCTCTCTCTCAACTTTCTCCTCAGTTTGATGACTGACTAAGAAAACAGCAAGAGAGGCTTCTATTATCTCAACCACAGCTGCTCTGTCAGTTTGATCAAATTATCTGAGGACTTACCTGAGGTCAAAGATTCTTCACCAGGGAAGCATGTCCCTCCCCACCCTACACCTCCCTCAGGCCCAGGGGGCACATAATAGAATCATCTGGGAAGCATTTTCAAAATTGAACTGACCCCTTGGGGATTGGTCTGCCCACTCCCCTAGAACAGATCCATCACCAGGGGAGCCTCATTGTCTGCAGCCATGGCCCCTCTCCTTTGGGGTGCTGGGGGAGGCACAGGTGAGCACCATGGGAAGCTGAGGTTGTGCCCACACCTACCTGTGTCTGTTCCTCTTGCCCAGGTCTTCCTCCTCCGGAACAGGGTCGATGTCCGGCAGAGGGATGATGTAGCCACTGTCCGCACTCAACCTCTGCTCGTCGAGGCCACCCTCCCAGTCCTTCAGCTTGTCTTCCTCATTTTTGTAGGTGACGCCAATGTAGGCGTTGTCAGAGTCCACGCGCATGCGTGCCACGGCGGGATGATCGCTCTTCAGGAAGTCCAGGTGAATCTTTTCATAACTCTGCAAACATTCATGTCACATAGTTAATCAAGTATTATTGACCAAACTGCAAAAAAGAATACAGGTGCTCAGAACTTACTATTTTTTAACTGTCTGTGTTTCCAAACTACCTCACAGATATGGGATTTAGACACCTGAGGGTGTGTCAGATGTCAACTGTTCCTAGAGATGTGGAACATGAAAAAAGGACCACCAAAGGCAGAGATCTCCTGCTGGTAGATCTTAAGATACCAAGAGCCCCTTCTCCAAGTCAGTAGCTACAGCTGTGCCCCATACATACACACTCCCTGCTCTGGGACTAGCACCGACCCTCCGGCCCCCATCACACCATCTCTCCAGGGCTTGGATGGGCCCCGATAAGAGATGACAAGGACTTCCACTGGGAACAGCACACCTGAAGCCTTCCTGATCCTTAAACATTGGAGAAATCGAACTCAAAACTTAGAGACCTTTGATCTAAAAAGGTCTGCATTTCCAACAATAGTTCTAGTCTCTTCCCATCAACACATCTTCACCAACCAGAGTATCTGTGACTGACCTACAGTTAATTTCCTCCTGCCTCCTCACTGCCTCACTTATGGACTTGTAATGGGCAGTGAGATAATCAACGGACAAAAGTATTTAACTTCCAGTTCAGCGTGCAACCTCCTAGCACTGTTCCTCCTTGAGAAGAAAGAGAAGCAATAAGGATGAAATGTCTACACAGTGAAGAACCTGAATCTAAGAAGTTGAGTTTATTATACAAGTGCATCTGGGCTTCCTTCTCAGCATCTCCACAGGAAGTTGTTTCATTCATTAACATATCCTGCTTGGTTCCATGAAATTACATTTGTTCCTTTGAACAATGCTTCCTATTCCACAAAAAAACCAGCTGGAGCCACAGATAACAGCTGAGGTTGTTCCTTCCAGTCAGCTGGTAAAAGCCAATTTTGCATGGATTTAAGGGCATTCAAATTAGAGATTTAATGGCTGTGGATGCCCTGAGACTTCCAACTGCACAGTCGCTTCAGATACTCAAACATCTGGAGACTAAAGTGCTTCCAGGTGTTGCACACTTCAGATGAAACGGGAGCCCTGCGGGCAGGGGAGGGTTTTCATTCATCATCACTACCAGGGGCCCGCGGGGCCCTCCCTGAAGCCCGGCCACTGGATCACACAATCTTTATCCTCCTTTGAAAATGTTCTTTTAAAACAGTGTTGAACAATGCTTCTCACTGGCTTAACTACCAGCTACTATCTTCTCTCTTTGTCCATTCCTTTCCACCCATCTTAAGAGGCCCAGACAAACCTTTTTATATTGTCCAGGCAGCAGATTCTCCACAATCTCACTCAGGTGGTAAAAGGAGGGCCTCTTCTCCGGCTCACTGTTCCAGCACTTCACCATGATCTCATAGCTGGAGAAGAGCACAACTCAGAGTGGGTGCAGGGAGGAGCGTCAGGGGACCCCCACCCCCAACTACCACAGACCCACTGGGCATAACCATAAGCCCCACGGGATGGGGAGGGGCTCACACTTCACTGGTGGCATGGTCAGGCTTGGCCATCCGGTACCCACTCTTGATCTTATTGTAGAAAGTAGAATCCACCATCATGCCAGGGTAGGGTGTGCCACCTGGAAGCCAAAGAAGAAAACCCCCAGGATTAACGTGTGTGGGACACCATGGAAACACTTGGGGTCATACAGCACCTTTAGAAAACGTTTGTGGATCCCCACCTTGAAGTAGTGATTTTTTCTTGGAAACTAAGTGTTATCATCCTCTTGATTTCACAGCCTGCCCAGATCTTAAATTTAACCAGGACTTCTAAGTTGGTCAAGACCAGGCACCCTAGGCAAAAATTCTACATCTTTAGAAAAAGATAGAAGCGTTTTTCAATGTTTCTGACAATTGGATCTACACATACAAACCAAAAGAGAAAAGCAAGAGAAATTCTGAATCAGAGGCCAAAAGAGTCATTTTCACCAGAAATGCTCAAACAATTAAAGCAAAAGTCAAAGTTGGGGTCTGAAATGTCTAGATAATTCTCTGCTCTTAAGGGAGTGTGAGACTCAGTGAAGGCACACACTGGGCTGACCCACGTGACATCCATGGAGAGAGAGCTAAGACAGAAAAAGGAGACCAGGCAGGTAGGACCTTCACTATCACATCAGGATGACAGTAAATTCATGAAATAGTTCACATTTTTATGGTCAAAGCCAAGTCAAGTTTAGTTTCCTCTCTAAAGCCTTCCAAAACTAGTCCAGGACTCCTTTCTCCTTCCTCTGGACTCCCACTACAATTTTAAATTAGGACCACACAGTGTATCAGTAAGTATGTAAGTCTCATCTCCCCAGATGAACTGTCTGCAGGTCGGGGTCCTAATTCACCCCTCTCTTCGGGCCCTCGCCTGGCAGCATGGGGCACCTGTGTTGTTTAGTACCTGGTGACTGACTGACTGACTGAATGAATGAATGGGAGCTTTCTCTCCTCCAGAATGATGACCAGGAAGGAGAGTCACGCCCTTTTCGTCCCCACACTAGTTTCATGTGAGCGTGATCACCATAAGGTGAGGGGGTGGGCAGCTCTGCACTGGTGAACCCATTAACCCAAAGTCCAAGATGAAAGAGCAGCTGGTGTGTGGATGTCAACAGGAGCATTTCCAGTGGGAGAAAGTCACTCTAGCATAGCCCAAAGGAGAGGGAGGGCAAAGGCTAGGGGTGAGGGCACAGCCCCCCAAGACCCCCATCTCAGTCCTCATGGGCACACCCCAGACATCACGAGTGTACAATGTGTGACATAAATGGGCTGCAGCACACTTGCGTCACACCGGGTATTTTCACATTGTTTACATTCCTGGAGCTTGGAAAAACACAGTGTTTCCCTTCCAGTGCTCTTCCAGAACAACCCAGACAAGCAGAGATGTCAGGCCCATACCAAGAGAAAAGATCTCCCAGAGCAGAATGCCGTAAGACCAGACGTCACTCAGCGTGGTGTAGAGGTTGTCGAAGATGCTCTCAGGAGCCATCCACTTCACAGGGAGAAAGGTCTGCGGGGAGGGAGGGAGGACATTAAACCCAGCGGACACACCAGGATCCACAGCAGCAGAAGTGGGACGGGGTTCTCTCAGGCCTAGTAACAACTTGCAGTGATAGCCTTGCCCCACACAAGCGTCTCCTGTGTGTGTTGTTCACCGCTGTACTCTCAGCATGCAGAGGAGGGCCTGGCATCCTAGTGGGTGCCCGATAAATATCTGACGAGTGATGAATGGGCGATGTTGCCTCTATGTCCTCCAAAGGAATAACATCCAAAAATATCTAACCCTGAATTTCGACCCAAAAGTGTGAGCCCTGAATGGACCTGTCCTCTCTTTTCAGGTGTTCCTAAGAATAAAACTAAGAAACAGATCCAGTGATCTGAAAGTCAATTACGTTTTTGAACTTTAAGAAGTGGTCATTTCCTACCACTACAAAGAGCGCGACAGTATGATAATTCTGCAGCCTCTTTTGCGAGGCTGGTCCAACCTTCAGTGGAAATAGTAAACTGAAGCAGACACATAAAGGAGCTGCGCCTTCGGTCCTCTGAGATGGCTAAGGAGATAACGGAGATTCATAACCTTTACGGACGGGTGAGAAATTGGCACCACCAAAGTCCATTGGTTTGTTCAGAGTGCCTGAAGCTACAGGTCATGGCCACACAGTACATGAAACACACAGAGCATGGACACAGGTCAGCATCCTTCTCTAGGCAGATGCAGCAACCCCATAGGTGTCTCAGGACCAGTGCAGTGGGGTGGTTAGAAGGGTACCAAAAGAGGGCAGATGTAGCCCAAGTGACTTTATCTGCCTAGAGGTGGAAGAGGTGGGGAGAAAGGCTCAGGTATAAGGAAGAATGGCTATCTTTAAGGAAATTATGCTTCCAAGATATATTAACTCAAATGTTTTTAACATTTTTAGAGGTCAGAGATACCTTTTGAAAATTCGGTAAATTAGAGATGCCCTCCTTGGAAATGCACGTATGGACACACACCAAACAATTTACATATTAATAGTCAACACTTATTGGGTGCTTTTTGTGCCAGGCACTGTCCTAAGCATTTTACATGATTTCACTGATTTATTATCCCATGGCAACCCAGGAGATAGGTACTGTTATCACTTCCCAGCTACAAATAGGGAAACCGAGGCACAGAATGGTTAAGTAACTTGCCACAAATCCCACACTGGTGAGAGCTGGAGCTGGTGCTCACACCCAGGCAGTCTGGCCACAGAGTCTGTGCTTCACACTGACCCCCTGAAGCCCATTCATGAGTCTCATGGACTCGATGTTAAAAATATGGGCACCAAGTGGCTAGAAGCAACACCTGACTTCAGAGATTCGAGCGAGGGAGCGTGACAATGCCAAATGAGGGGAGAGAGCACGTACGCTGCCTTTGGACACGTAGTTGGAATCATGCATGATGTCTCTGGCCAGGCCAAAGTCACAGATCTTCACAATTTTCCCTTGTGCCAGGAGGACGTTGCGAGCAGCCAGGTCCCGGTGGACACACTGCCCAGAAAGAGAAGAAACAATGTCAGGGTCAATCTACCTGCCTCCAGACAGCATCACCCCTGCCGGGGGCCACTTCATGATAGCACACGGAGCTGCCTGGCACACCTCAGTGAGGCTGTCCTGGTACAAAGAGCTCACCTCCCCCAGGCTCTCATCCCAACCACTCCCAAGAGGGAGAAAGCTCTGGAGAAAAGTAGACACCAGAGGATGTCCACCTCCCTGCTCTGCTTTGGAGAAGAGGAAAGAGAGAAGCAACCATTGCTACTGGTCTTCCAAGATCTACCTTCCACGCAAACCTCACTCTGAGATCTGTGGCCCAGATCTAAAATCTTGAACACACTTACATTCTTTGAAGCCAAAAACTCCATTCCTCGGGCAACTTGATAAGTGAAGCTCAACAAATCCAGCAAAGTTAGGCCTTCTGAGTTATCATCCGAAAGGAGGTTTTTGACTTCTGAGTCTGCAGAAAAGGAATTAAGTGTGTTGGTCCCAGTGAATCCCATGAAACATCACCCCCTGTGACACTCTCGTAGGGATGGGCCACTTGTCAGGCTACTGAGGCTTGTCCAAAAAACATCTAAATTATTTTTTATACAATTTCTAGACCACACAGGTGGGTATCTAAACTATGCAAAGGTTCCATCTTAAAAAAGAAATGTATCAGCAGAAACACATATCTGGTTAAAAAACATATATCTCCATAAGAACCAACCTACCGGGGTCTCACACATATTTTGTTGTTTGCCTTCCAAATTTTTTAGTTAGCAAATCACTTCAGCCACCTTTAAACTACACACACACACTAAAATCTTCCATGATGAATGTACATGAGGGCCCTTTGAAAAAGTAGCTTCCAGGAATTGCTTTTTTTCTTTTTAAAGCCACCTTCCTCGTAGCTGACTTATTTTGTGAATAAAATCACCCACCAGTCAGACCTGAGGTAGCAATCTTAAAGATCAGTGCCAATGACTTTGTGTTTAGTTCCCTTTGTTTCTAACGTGTCCACTTTCCCCGGTTAGTCCCATCTGGAAGGGTCCCAGGGTTTTCGAGGAAGAAGGCAACCCAGGCCAGCAGTTCTCAGTTCTTTTTGAAAATTTTCAGGCAAGTCAAGAGTAGCTGCAGCCATTCACATTTTTCCAGCCAGCGAGGGGAAGGCCAGAAAGCAGCAGTCTGCCTGCCAGCAGGCCTGGGCTGTGCATGAATCAGCTTCCCCTGCAGTCCAGAGCCAGGTCCAGCCTGGGAAGCAATGTAAACTATTTTTAACAACACAGGAGGGGAGAGGAAGCACTGGTTCCGACAACTCTCATTGGCTAATCTTTAAAAAGGGCCTGGAAGCTTACCCACTTGGCAATGGGAAGTGCGTGGAACTTGGAACTGCAGCAGTGGAAAATATTAATGCGTACTGAGCTTTGCAAAACAAGCACATTCTTTTTTTTAATGGATTGTACCTTTCACTTAAGAACCTTGAAAGCATTCAGAGCGCATTAGTGATTTCCAAAACAATTTCTATAGCAGCTCAACATTTTTTTGCAGTGACCAAAGGGAGGGCTCACACCCAATAATACAAGAGCAGGGACAAGTCAACATCAGACTCATTAGTAGGCACCCTCCCGTTCCCCCTCCAAGCCTGTGATGAGGCTAGAACCCTGGAGGGGCCACCTCCCAGCAGATGTGGGACAGTCCATCTGGTCTGGGCATCAGCTAGGCTCCCCGGAGTTTATCAATCAATTCAACCCCGCCACATGCTCATCTGCTTTGCAAACAGATGGATCTTCCTTCAAACAACATCCAGTAGAAACACTCAATGCCCCTGTCAGAAAATAAAACCTCAAATCATCTGCTTTCCAGTTTCTATCACAAATTGGATACTGGCAAAGCTAAAAGCGGGGGCTATTGAACTCATAGATATCAGAGGTATAAAACTAAATTTAAAAAATAATATTAGGAACCAATATAAGATTGCCAATTCTTAATTTTGCCAAATAAGGGCACTGAGAGAAAAAACACCAATTACCACCACACTCTCATTAAACAAAAGAAAAACATAACGTTAACACCAAAAAAGAAAGATCATTCTATCAGAATAACTAATTCTTTACAATGACTACATTATAGTCTGAAAAATTCATTATATGAAGTCTCTTTCTTCTTTTTCTTCTTTTCAACCCACAGGCTACAAACCTGTGAAAACATGTCACAGACTTGGTTGTGCAGACCTGCCTTTAGGGACCATGCAGACTGGTAGTTGTGCTTACCACGCTTCTCGCTTTCTTCTGAGTATTTTACACATCATAGTAAACCACTGGAAGATCACAACACCCAAAGAGCGAGCACAGACATTTTACCTAACATAGCTTTCTTCTTATATGAGGCTGGGCGATCATACAGCGACCTCTGGATGTCCGAATATTTAGAAACCTCTTTCCTCTCCAGCATGGGGACATACTGTGTGGTATCAGCTTGCTTCATGTCCATGTAGTCACCATTGTTTTCAAAAGATAAAATAACATAACTGTAAAAACAGAAAAAGAAACCTTACCAGGGGTCCCCCTCTGGAGTAGTCATTCAACATCCAGCAGATGATGACCAGGTGCCTACAGTGTGCAGGGCAACAGGGGTGAGCAAAAGCAAAACCAACCCACACCCTTCACGTGGGGTAGGCTTGCTGGGGAGATGAGCACTAATCAACAAGCATCTCAACTCAGGTGTGCTGTGAAGGAAGGAAGGTTTTGACAGCAGACAAGGAAAACGACCCAATCTGGGGGCTAAGGAAGCACTCTCTGAGGATGTAGAATGAATCCCATTTACAAAGATGGGAAAGACTCGGGGGATATTTGGAATGGTACCTGGCACAGGGGCGCCACAAACGTTAGCTGCCTAACATTATTATTATTTATTTACCTGTTTGCTTTCAGTGTCAGTGTCCTGCACATCTTCAGCAGGAGCATAGACATCCTGAAGAGCCAAATCCAAGACAGTGGGGCTCCCAGAGGCTTATAAAATTTTATGTCTATTACATTTAAAGTTTGAAAATTACATTACATTACGTCCATCGTTATTCTTTCTGTTTTTCAATTCACAGGCCATGAACCTGTGCTACGTGACATGCAGCCTGGGCAGACAATTCCTGCTACTCGATAAATTTAGCACCCATTTAGCACCCATTTGGTGGCCATCAAGTAACTTAATATGAAGGAACTCATTGGACTTTCTGATGTTACAGAACTTCCTATCTACAGAGATCTTTATAGCCACTGACAGGTTTCTACAGTGGGGATCACTATCACTGGCTTAATTTACTGGCCCAGGTTCAGCAAGGACCAGCATATCAAGCTTAGAGATGCTCAGACACTTTCTCACAAGATACAAGCTCCGAGGCATCCCTGGTCAGAGGTGCATTTTATAGGTCCTAAGTGAACCACACATCAACAGCAGAATGGCTCCCAGAATGATTCCAACTCTCACTCTCATTCAAACCTATCAGCAAGGCTCCCTGAGTGACAGCCCAGTCCAAACGCCAGCAGGCATCATGTATCTCAGGGATGAAGGGGCAGGGTAATTGGACTCTAAGTCTTGCTACATCCTGGCACCGAATCTGCAGGTGTGGCCTCTCTCAGGACAAGCGTTCTCCTCACTGGTGAGGCTCGTAAGACCACGATTCACAGCAACATCGCTCTGCACCCACCTCCGTGTGCTTTCATCAGCAGGGGTCAATCCAAAGATGTCCAGCTCTTTCTTTGGCTTCTCTGGGTGGCGGCTCAGGAAGCTGTCCCTATTCTTATGCAAATAGTTGACCAAATCCCCATAGAAGCAGTACTCTGTGATGATGTAAATTGGGCCTGTGGAGACCAAAACCCGTTAGGAGATGAGTATGAAAATGAAGAAGAGAAAAGCCATGAATGGCTATGTTTGCACTGGCAAGAGATGTTGCTCAAAAACAATGAGCTTCCATGAGTTCAGTGGAATCCAGTCAACTCCATTCAAGGGACTTCTATTTGCTGGCATCTTTAGAGGTAGAGAACAGGGGTTTAAAAAGCCTGGTTCAACAGTTTTCACAGCCACAGGCAACCCTCACTCCCAGGTCAATAAGCCTACCTGACTTGGTACAGGCTCCCAGCAAGTTCACAATGTTTAAATGCGGCCCCAGGTGAGTCATTATCTTCAGTTCCGACATGAGAGCTTGTTTTTCACTAGATCTGGCTGTGGCTGTTGAAGAAATAAATCACATATCAGCTCAACTGAGCTACTTACTTCCTAGAAAAAGCCAAAACCTGGCTAATCCTGTGACTGGATTATTATTCTATTTGAAAAGAGTCTAAAAGAGAAACAGATAGTTACTCTCATGACTAATCTCTAGTCTTTAGGATAAAAAGACATCACTACAAATAACAATTCTTGATTTTCCAACATACAGGCAACAAGAACAAGCTACATAAACCTAATGGATGAAAGAGTCTAAATACACATAAAACCTAGACTCAAGAGAAGCAAGATCTAGTTAAATTTGGTATTTACTGGCTGTGTGATTTTGAGCAATTCACTTAATAGCTCCATGTTCAAAAAATCCCCAGGAAGGGGCACTTACGTTTTAGCATCTTCACAGCTACTTTCATGACAGGTTGGGACCGGCTTAATCCATAAGCAGTTCCTTCGACCACTTTCCCAAACGCACCAGATCCCAGGATACGACCTGTGGGCAACCAGAACCATTAACATACACAGAAGTCAGGCGTCTCAGCAGCTTTATTTACCAGCATCGGGGGTGCACAGCTGGGCGGTGTTTTTCCTGTACGGTGTAAGCATAATGATTCCTCCAAGTCATCATGTCAAAACCAGAATTGAACCCACAGGGAAGGAAATTAGTATAATTGCTTTTGTCAAATAACATTTGCAAGGGAAAGGAAAACAGACGGGGGGGAAAGGAGGGTGCAGCCCTCCCCGGTGTGAGCACTCTGTCTACCAGTTCGCGTGCTGAGCTAGACCGTGGGCTCCTTGTACTTGCTTTCTGTGGCTCTTGCCCAAACCTCCTGGGTCTCTACCCTTCTGTTTTCCACATGCAAACAGGGGCATCTTTTGCATCAGTAAATCCTTATCCACTGGAAATACTTCAGTATTCGAGATAGCCCTGATTCCAAGGAGTGATGAAATAAACTTCCAGCTGGTGTCCTCACTGTCTATTTGTCAGGGAGAGCAGAAACAGCAAAGACTCAACACGCCCTGGAAGCACAGCCCTTTGCTACATGTTGGGAGAGACAAAAAGAAATGGAAGCTGTGGCCGCCATTCTCAAAAAGCTAACAGTCTAAAGGAACATTTCCCATAGTGGTCAGTCTCACCATGGAGAGCCAAGTCAAGGGCAGCCTCAGCTCACAGGGGACACGAACAGCCAACACTGCCTCTGACTGCCTGTCTGCACTGCTGGAAACCGTACCTGGAAAGGAGTTGCTTCCATAGCAACCTGCGAATACACAGGAGCAGCAAGACACAGAAATGCCTCCTGCCAGATTAGGGATGTTGCCCTTTTTTTCCCCATATTTTATTACTTTTTAACTTCCCTAAGCGCCTCATTCCTTTTGGTAAATCGGGGCAAAATATAATAAAGAAAGCTTAGTTCCCAGGTATAAGTATTTGAAATTGGGAGCAGCTCGGGTGTCTTGTTTGATTTCAGTTTAAGTAACTCTTTACAAGACCTAACCTTGCTGTTTTTTGGAATGAGACAAGCGGATAATTAAAAACCGCCTTTGGCATCCTGCAAAGTACATACCGTTAGAATATTCATAGCTCTAACTTTCATTTGTCTTTGTCCTGTCTCCATTCATTCAGGATGTGATTTAAAAAAGAAAAAAATCCCCTGGACTAAAGTTTATGTACTTGGTCTCAGCCCAAGATTGAAATATTTGAAAAGCGTGTCATAAGTTGGCTTGATTATTTTTACGTGTTTTTGCTTTAAAATGCACCTATATTTTTATATTCTATATTCTAAACATATATATTCTAAAGAAGTATCATACATCTTCAGAATGTACTGGATAAAAATATATTTTGTGGTTATCCTCATGCATTTCTCATCTGTTCTTTTCAGTCACAGAAATTCACCTCCTTTTCAATTTGTGTCATTTCCAAAGCAAATTGGAAGTGGCAGCCCGCCTCAAATTCTCTTCTCCCTTTGTAAAATTTTCTTTAACTATAATTTGCTATAGAATGAGATTAAAAAAAAATCATTTCAGTGATTCAGTGAACTCATTTTCAAGACAGAAAAGTATTTCTGGAAGCCAATTTCTATTCCCTCGCTCTCACTCATCACCAGCTCAGGTCCCTGTTCCTCCCCAGGCATATAGAGTAAAGTTGTGTACAAATCAAAAGGGAGCCTTGCGAGACCACCCGGGAGGAGCTTACCAAGCACGAGGCCATCTCTTGGAAACTCCCATCTCGAGTCATAAGGCAGCTGCATCGGGTCCACATAAATATATTCATGTCCATCAGGGCTGATTGATTCAATGACCCTCCAACGAATTTCGTACCTCGGTTTCTATAAACGACCAGGACAGGGAACTGGTGAATCCCCAAAGTTGCAATGCACCAGAGCTTAACTGCAGCAGCAAAGCCACTGGATACAGTAGGATCCAACAACACTCACTCAACATACAATTACTGAGCTCCTTCTCTGTGCTAAGCACTGAATTACGTTGCTATTCTTCTCGTTCTTATTGGTTTCAAAGATTTTTAGTTCTTTCAGAAAATATCTACCTGCTTCCAAATGACAACCAGGACAATAAGTGAGATGATCACAATCACCAACAGCACCAGGACCGCAGCTGCCACTGTGAGTTCAGAACGTAGAGCTAGAGGACGAGAGAGAGGCACAGTGGAGAATTCGCATGAACATGCAGGAGGGCAGGAAGGCAGGGTGGCTGTTTCTGGGCCAGAAATCTCTCAATAAGAGGTGGGGCGAAGCATGAGGGCTGCCTGGCGCATTTTAGGGACGGGCAATACCATCTCTCAATTATCCACACCCATGAAATCACTGCAACTCTTCCCTTAGATGAGAAAGGGACAAAATTCCATTGGGAACACAATACTTTTTCCAAAGGTGCTCCAACATTAATCTCCCAGACAGAATGTGAATTGGAATACAAAGACTGATAAACAAGATTGAGAGCTCCTGGAAGTTCCAAAACTTCAGTTTATTTTGAAAGGCTGCATTTTGTTTACATTGTTTCAGCTTCATTATTTATTTATTTATTTTAAGAATTCAACCTGTCTCAACTGTTGCAAGGAGCAACAAGGCAGAAGATCCTCCTTCCTCATTCTCCCTCCTCATGCTCACACTAAGAGACCGGGTAGCTACACTGTTGGACAAGCAAAGTACCCAGGGGCCTCTGCAAGATGCAGTTTTGAATCTGAATCTGAAAGAAAGGGCTCCCACACAGGTGCCCAGAGGAGGCCCTTCAAGAGTACTCAAAGCTGAATTTCTGCCTTGGGACCTTCATTCCTATCGGACCCCATCTAGGATTCAAAGTCCTGCCTGAGGGAGAAAGGGCTCAGCTGATGACTGAGGAGCAACTCACTGGGAGCCACCAGCTTCAGCTCTCGGTTCTCAGCCCCAAGGAGATTCTTAGCCAGACACCGAACGGCAATGGTCTCCTCCACTTTGGCAAACGTCACTCGGCCCTCCACAGTACTCCTGTCTCGGGGGTGGACCTCCGTGATGATGTTTGAGATGTTGTTAGCCAAAATCGTCCACGAAGTTTCATTATTACATCTGGAGAACAAAAGGACATAAATATAGAGCCAATTAATGGGAGTAATGGAGGCGAGTGGGGCAGTGAGAATGATCTAGGACGGCAAGCAGTTCTGACCTCGTCTACATTTGGGGATGCTACAGGTTGATTTTCTTATTTTATGTGCATATTAACATTAAAACTAGTTTGCACACACCCAAGAGAGAATAACCTACAGGTAGATAACTGGAAAATTAACTGTTTATGAAGGTGAGGCAGAGATAAACAAGTTCAATCTAATGGAACTACCAAACCTAAGCCTTGAACCATAAGCAAACTGAACAGCTCAATTTCAAGAATGTTTATCCCAATTTCCCACCCCTTCAAAAAGTCTTGGGGCCCTCCCTTCTCTCCACCCACACTCTGAAGAGCCCCTAAGGTGTCACTTGGGTTGGAGCAATCCCCTGACTGAGCTATGAGACCTAGATTCCAACTCCAGTCAAGATCCAAGTCTGGTCCCTTAGCCCTCGGAGGGGGTAGGTCTAGGAGTCTCAGCCTTTGGGGGAAGCAATCGAGGATTCTGAACACAGTTGCCATGGGCGGAAGTGAGAACACGTCGCTCATGTGCCCATTTGAGAAGGTTGAGGAATGGGAGACGAAGGAGGAACTGATGAGTTAACTGCCACCAAAAAAGCAGGTAGGCAAATGAGGTAGTGAGCAGTCACATGGGCAGTATTTTCATTTATGTTCACATGCCATTCTAGCCAGCAAACAAAGTTCACCATATAAGAAATGGGAGGTGAAAATGTGGGCCGGGGTAGTAGATATCCCCTTACAGCAGCAGTTTTTTAAGTTCATCTTCTTTTCAGATTAGAGACCCTTTGAAAATCTGATAAAAGTCATGGACCTTCTCCTTACAAGTATTCATGTACACACAAGTACACGTGCGCGCGCGCACACACGCACACACACAAGGTCCATGTTCGGAACCCTATCTTGTAGTTTGTGAGACTTAGGCCAAATAAGAATTACAAAAACAAAAAAGGGCCAGTAAAAGAAACAAAATGCATTTGAGGTACTTTGCGTCAAGGAAGAAACATTCTGACCACAAATGAAAAAGGAACATCTGGTTTCCATACTTCTTAATATCCTTGCAAATCATCCACTCAATGTCAGGAAGAGGGGTCCCTTCAGCTGTGCATCTCACAGTCTGACCCCCGGTAGAGCCATGGTGGTCGTCGACCAAGTCCAGAATAGATGAGGGAACTGCAAGAGGTGGAAAGAAGTCGGAATTGAGTGGTCCGTGTCCCCACCCTTCCAGGAACTACAAAGTGGAATATGAGCTCAGAACTGCCTTACGTAGCACTCGAACCCACAAATCAAGTAACCACCCGAGAGACAGCTGAAATGAGTTGGGCGCATAATCACACTCCAGTTTGGACAGACCCATTTGGTTAAGAGCATTTTCACAGCTTCAGTGTTTTGGGATCTGTGCCCTGTGGTGTTTCAAATCTGGAGTAGGAAAGCAAACAGCCCCTGTGGTTATTTGGCTTGAAAAGCAAGGAGACTCTTAATTATATTATGGCTTGGGATTCAACTAACAGATTCAGCTAAAGTGTAATCTACAGCATCATTTACCACAGTGCATCTGTGGGATATTATTAGGTTTTAAAGATGTTTTTTAATCCATCATCAAATAAGTTAGAAATACACTAATCCCTATATCACAGATTTACTGTGAGGGTCAAATGAGCCCACCTGAGACAGTACCTGGCACGTGGCAGGTACTCAGCAAATAGGTGCTGACCCTGAGTGTAAACAGACTTGGGCACTCCCTTCTAGTAAGGCCATTGTGCAATGAACGTCTACAAGAGAAGCTAAGCAAAAAGCCCAAAACTCTCTGGAACAATCTAAACTCATCTGGACCAAAAAGCATCATTTCACTCTTCCCAGAAATAAAGGTGCCAGACTGAGAAGCAGATGGTAAGGAAGTTGTTGGAGCCTAGGAATTCCCAGTCAGACTATTCTAGAGTAGCCTGGAACCTCCCAGAATTATGCGAATTCACAAGTCCAACAAAGTTATCCCTGACATGTGACATCTCCAGTCTCTGCTTCTCATGAAAAGTGTTGCTTTTCCCTCCAATGACCTGGGAGAAAAGTGCCAGGCTTTCCTTGGGAGACACTCACTCACTGAGCTAGCAGTATCTTAATACCGCCCTCACATACCTTGAGTTAAGAGTTCAAAGGTATAGCTCTTTACATCATCTTCATTTTGAACTACAATAGTATAATGACCACTGTCTTCTTCCTTTGCACGGATCAGCTTTAATTTGCTTCGGTACCTGAAGAGAAGAGAACTTTGTTTCAGCAAGTAGTAGCCAAATAAATTCCAAACGTTTAAGCAATTACCATATTCAACTTAAACTTTAGTTTTGTAAAAAATAAAAATATCTTTTTTTCTTGTCTGTATCATCGCTTTTCTGGGATTTTTGATATGTCACTTTCTACATGGTGAAGGTCCGGGTTGTAGACACTGAATTCTTAAACAGAAGACCAGACATTTTCAGATGAGCAATGACTTAGGGGGTTACAGGAACAATCAGCGGTGGTCAGGCCTGGCTCCTGAATGGGAATAAACACATCCCAACTTGCCATTTTTTTAAACCCTTGATTTTTATCTTTTTAAAAAATACTTGCTTCCCCTAAATATCCATCATTTAGATGGTCCAGCCAAACAATGGAACATCATTGGAAGAAAGAACAAGGACACTGTCTGTGTATTGATATGGAAAGACCACCAGGATATAACATTTCTACCTGCTTGTATTCACTTAAAGAAATTCTGGAAGGTTTCATAAGAACCTAATGAAACCAATGGAAGTATTTCCCTGTGGGTGAGGAGGAGAGGTAACCTGGACAGACGGGGACAGGAATGGAGTGAGGCTTCTGAAAATGTACCTTCTGTATATTTGAATGTTTTTAAAGCACGGGATTCCATAAGCTAGCGAAAAAAAATAAATTAGAAAAGTATATTTCTTCATACTTTATTAAAGGGAAGTTTCCGCAAAAGATTTCTTATACGTATTGACAATGACATTTGGCCACACATGTGTGTGTCTATGTGTGTGTGTGCGCATCACCGAAATATTTGTCCATTCCATTGTCCTTCTTTATGAAACATCACAGTGTGGAAAAGCAGCTGGAGTGGAGAGGAGGAGCCCTGGGCACGGAGTGAGAGAACCTTGGGCACCAGTGAAACTCTCCGTGCCTCAGTTTCCTTATTTGTAGCATTGGATAACAGCATGCATAGCACACAGTCATCCTGAGAATTAACTAAGTGAAATTACACATGTGAAAGCATTTCATAGGCTCAAAAGTGCCCGGCAAACGTAGTCTTCTAGCCCAAGACACCAGGCACTAGGACCTGGGAGGAGAGCATGCTGGGCTGGTCTTGTCCGGCTGCCCCACACTGACCGGCTTCAGGACTGGAGTTCCTCAGGCACACCAGGTGCTGATTATTAACACAATCCTCTGGCGTTCATTTTCTACACTCGTTCAGCCAAGAAAGCCGGAGGATCCACTAGTTCTACACTCCAGGAAGCCACATCCCCGAGCCATTGTGGTCATCCTTCTGTTCCCCGGCCCATAATGGGAGCTAGAGGACTATCTGCTGGAGGGACTCGAAACACTTCACAGGCCGCCCTCCTGAACCACTCACTTGGCGAGCCTTGTGCTGTTGTTACTAATAATTATAGCTTGCAGACAGCGCTCACACAAGCGTTTGAAGAGTGGGCTGTGCCACGATCACCCCGCTCCTCTCTGGCCTCACAGCCTGGTGGAAAGTTCGGCACAACCCACCTCGGTGCGCCTTCATTTCGCATCATCAGAAAGCCCTCCAGCTTCAGTATTCCACTTCTTTTTCTATCACTGTTCTACAGAGGTTGTAAAATTCCATTTTCTCAGACGCCGCTTCTCAATGACACGTGGAATTTAGTTCAGAAAGAAGAAAGCAAATCCTGAGGTGAAGTGAACTGACAAGAGAGGTTCTGTCTCCTCTTCCCTGAAGCCTTGACATAGAAGACTGGCTTTTGTCTCTCAGGGATGCTGTCTGTCAAGGATGCAGGGCTGGATTAGCCGGGCCCTTCAAGATATCCTTTCTGCTCTTGGATTCTAATCAGAGCTCAAAACTGCAAGAGTCCTCAGAACAGCATCTGACCCAAACCCCTGCCTTGAAGGACATAGGTGTGATTAACCCTACGTTATAGATGAGGAAACTGAGGCTGAGGGCGACTGACCCAGAACTCCAGCACTAGTTAAGAGATGAGAGCAGCCTACCGTCCACTAAAAGGGCAGAGGTCCCAGCTATTCACTGTACGTTCTCTCCTAACCAAATTTAACCAGACGCCACTCTTATTTCCTGTGGAGGCCTCACTAGCGCAAATGTTTCAAGTTAAGCCAATGAAGTTTTCTTTCAAGTGGGTTCATGTGATAATTGACTTGCCAATGGAATCGCCATGCATGTCTACTTGCAATATGGATGATGGCTATCACGGAATATATATATTCAATCCAAGTGGGTCCAGATTTTACTTTCTTTCCTCCACCCCTGGCTGGATCCAGGAACCTGTCTTTCACTGGGAGCAGAGATTTTCACTTCGTCTTTCTTCTTATTTCATCGTTAACTACTTACCAACATACTATTACCACACTGCAATGTTATCATGAAAGGTGCTTGATTTGAAGTATCTCCTTTCTCAGATGCTCAGTTTTCTAGACTGACTCTTGGGTTGGGATGTAAGACACACATGAACCATAGTCTATCTAGGGATAAACAATAAAAAGAAAAAGCAGACTAGGGAACGCTGTTTCTTTACCTTATTTCCTGGATCTTTTCTATGTCAGTGGTGATCTCAGTGAGATTTTCGATCAGAGTCAGGTTGTCCTTCAGCCAGGATATCCTAGGAGGCGGGTAGGCCTGCACATCCACCACAAAATGTTTGACCTCATGCAGGTCAACGGCTTCCAGCCGGCTGAAGTTGGGTTTGATTTCAATGAAGCCTTTCTCTGCACAGGGAAGAGTTTCCATTAAATAATGATTCCCGCACAGCGGATCCCGAGCAGTACAGACAACTGACATTTCAGAAAGCAGACTGTACCATGGACAGAAATGGTGACTTTCTTCATTTCTTTGACCTCCCTGGTGGCCTGGCGGGCAGCACATTCGTAATCTCCACTGTCTTTCACCGTGGCCTCGGGGACGCTCAGGGTGTACACCAATTTGATGGACGGGACCTTGATTTCCTCCAGCATTGTGATGCCTTTGCCTTTCTACAGCAGAAGGGAGGAAAAGCGACTTTAAAAAGCTGGCTCTGAAGAGTGACCCTCGTTAAACTATGGACTGTGGGTGACGACGATGAACCACTCCAGGTTCCTCGATGGCGACAAACGTACCACCTGTGGGGATGTTGCTAATGGGGGAGGCTGTCCATGCAGGAGGGCAGGGGCTAACAGGAAATCCCTGTACCTTCCGCTCAATTCTGCTGTGAACCTGAAACTGCTCTAAAAAACAAAGTCTAATAAAAAAAAAATTTTTTTAAGCCAGTTCCTTAGAATATGTTTTAAAAGGATGTTTAATAACATAGTAAAGGGGTTGTGCAATACTGCCAAAGGAAAAAGGATATAACAAAGTACTATTTACAGTATGATACCTATTAATTATTACATTTATCTATGTATACAAAGTATTTAAAGGATTTATCTCTCTAAAATATTAACAGTGATGCTCTGGGAAATGGCTTTTCCTCTGTTTCTCTAAACTTTATAAAGTTACAACAATAAACCTGCATTACTTTTATTATTAGACAAAAAAATGCGTTATATAAAATGATCCTTTGATTATAGACTTTTGGGCCAAATAGCATGTACTTTGGTTTGGGGGTAAAAAAATTGATCTTCAGTGAATGAAGGACCAGCCCCAGTGGCCTAGTGGTTAAGTTCAGCACACTCCACTCCAGCGGCCCGGGTTCAGTTTCCGGGTGCAGACCTACACCACTCGTCTGTCGGTGGCCATGCTATGGCAGCAGCTCACATACAAAACGAGGAAGATTGGCAGCAGATATTAGCTCAGGGCGAATCTTCCTCAGCAAAGGAAAAAATAAATAAATAAGTAAAAAGAAATGTTTATGTTTTAAGGATTAAAAGCAATCGAGTATAAACAAAAAAATCAAATAGCTTCATATTTCAGGGAAACGTACATATATTGGACTATGAATGAGGCTCATGAGGCAATATTTGAAAATGCCCAACTTCCAATTAGATGCCCCAGAGAGAAAGAAAGAGGCAGCAAAAGTATGTGGGAGAGAAACAGATAAAAGAAGAAAAGCCATCAAATGCCAAAAAGAGCAGGGAGCTGTTATTTACAAAGCAGGAGTGAAGAGAAAAATATATATATATGGTTTTTGTTCCCCCTGAGGCTGCTGTATTAAGCATCGTGAATCACTTCTGCATTGGTCCACCACAGCCTTTCACACTTGGTTCTCTTATATACCTACCATAATGCATCAGAATGAATGAGAAATCCCCAGTGTAAATCCCCAGTGACCAGAGATGCCATGTGGCCCCCTTTCCCCAATTCCATCTCCACTCCTCCCATCTTCTTCCTCCTTCTGTGCACGGGCCAGCATCTAGCAGAGTGCTTGGGATTTAGCAAACATCACTCAGTCTTTGCTGAATGATTCACTGAACGTGAGCCATGCAAAGAAAGACCAGGCAGGGAGGAGGCAGAAGTGTCCTGGGTGACAACGAAGCAGAAATGGAAGGGGGGCAGGCAATCAACATTATCAAATGCCTCAAAACCCAAAGGCATGGGAGCCAAAAGAATGAGAACTAATGACTCTCAGCAATTAGAAAATTTTAAAACCCATTAGTTTTTTGGTTTTCTAATTTTTTTTGTTGTTATCTTGTGGCCATAGACCCTTCCTATTTCTTTCTGACTTATGAAAAAGAAGGCTCAGTATACAATGTTCATGCATTCTGAAGGTCCTGGTCCAGCTTTTGTCACCGCAAACTCTCCCACTGCTCAAAGGGCCATAAAGTCATCTAGTCAAATGTGCTTCTTGTAGAGATGGGAAGCTCGGTGATGCGCCCATCGGTGGCTGGTCTTTTGAACCCTGCTGTGCTCCACTCCATGCCACAAGGAGACTTGAGGGTACCTACCACTTCTCCAGGGTAAGTCCACTGAAGGTCAACCACCTCGTTGTTAAAGACGGCACAGGTGACCACAATCGTTTCCCCCGACTTATACACAGTCTTAAGAGCTTCCATCTCTAGATCAAGTTCTGATGTTGCTATTAAGAAAAGAACAAACACAAGGACCTAAATATCCATAGTATAGTTAGGATCTTACAGGTTCAGCTTTTTGTTTTTGTTTTTTTTTTAAGAAAACTACTGAAAAATAATTTGCAAACCACTTTGATCAAGATCAAATTTTGAAAATCTCAGAAGCCTTGATTTTGTGTTGGCATACATAATTTGGCATTTAGTTACAATACAAGATAACAAACACACACACAAAAATAATAACAGTAAAAATAAATTCCAATTAAACAGAACACCACACTCCTGAGTATTTGGGTTGATTATGGCTATCTTCGTTCGCAATCACCTTACCGACATATTTGTTCATTTAATCAACGAACCTTTCGAGACCAGCACTCCTCCAGGTACTCTGCTCCTCCCCCGTCATTTATTCTCCTCTTCTCTCCCACTCTGCTCCCCAGTTATTCTCAGCACTTTTCTAGAACCTAGCACAGTGCCTGGCATAAAGAAACCCTTAATGAGAGTTAAGGGCATACTCGGCTGCTGCCATACCTTCATGGAACTGTTCAAAAAATCTGCTGACCTAAACACAGATTATATTTTCTCATTCACATTAACCGCTCACATCAAAGGGAAGAAGTCTACAACTACAAGCTTTTCTTAAAATCGAAATCAGTTTTCTTAAGTTACTGAAGTTAAACAAGGCGTCCAACCTCCACAGGTGTGTGTTTGTTTTTAGGGCCTCTGTAGTCAGGAATGTGAGTAAAACAATAAGAGGCTTATGCAAGAAAAGAATTCCTTACAGTATTTTGAAGTCAACTGATGAAACACGAAATCTTACAGGGGTGAGAAAGCGTTTGCCTTTCGTCATGCTAAGCCTCGTATTACTGTTGCCACAGAGGGCAGCCCAACAGTGCATGGTACAGGTGGGGTCTGGAATCCCCAAAGGTTCAGGGTCTCCATCACCAGGGACTACGATTAAAAAAAAAATCCTACCTGCATCTGATTACTTTGCTTGTAACTCTTATTTAAAGAAGGAGGGAAAGGGTGCAAGTACCTTTTAAAGCATAAACATTAAATGGGATGGTCCGAAACTTCTTCCCTTTGACGGTGGCCTCGCAGATGTAGGGCCCGACGCTGAAGGTTCCGTTAAAGCCCTGTCTGCTGTCGTAGGAGGCGAGTACCACCCCGTCACTGCTGAGTAAGGTCACTGGAGTCTCAGGATCAGTCGTGCGACAAGGGATGATGGCAGAATCATCATCCTCCACGATGACTAAATAGTCTGTCATTCCTAGAGGTACGAAGGCCACATCAGGGTCTGTGGTTTAAAAGAGAAAGAAAAACATATGAGGCATTAATTTCACCTCTACGAATATATGCAGAAAAATTAGCCCACTGTCACTGATCACATTAGGTATGAATTTTACCTTCACACATGTATCCAGCGGCATCACCCCACTGACATTAGTCATTATCACAGCTGGAAGGTAATTTAAAGTATGAACAATACCAAATTGCCTGCACCCTAATAAAAAATACTGATGATAAATATAAATATTAGCCAGGAACTGAAATCAACATTTAAACAACTATTAAAAACAAAAAATGGCCAATAAAATAAGCAACTCTGTTCAAAAAGAGAGAAAAATTCATAATGTTTAAATTATGAAATACTTCTTTCTAAAATTCCTATGGCCTATAGTCAGTGTTATTGAAAAGTAGTACAGAAACCTAGCTACTGAAAAATAATCTCTCAAGTAATAAATAAAAGTTATAATTTTCTGAGAATTTCCTTTTCAAAAGAAAACCAGCTCCTTAAGCTACTCTGGTAAGAAATACTGACAGTCTTAAGCGTCAGTTTCAGAAAGGGCCCCTCCCTCTCCATTCTTGCAAATAGAAAGACGGACTGTGTGACAACACTGCAGGGCCTGCTCGGATGGTGTCTGTGCTGGGGGGAGGGAGGAACAAGAATTTTCCGACAATCTTCGGAGGATCCAAACTCCAAGACTCATGCACCTCAACAAACCCACGTTCCTACCATTCTCTTCACAGCAGGGGGACATTGATGTGTGAATGAAGTTGAGGTGACATTCTAAATATCTACCCTTTTGAAAAAAAATTCTTTATTCTTAGGAAGAAAGGTTCATCTAGATCAGTGTCATGAAAGCAAGGAGGGTCTAGCAAGACGAGGACCCAATGAGAAGAGCTTGAAAAGAAAAGGCGGAGAGGCAGGAAGACCCACTTCAGAAATCCCCTTCCTCCATCTCTGCCAAGACAACAAGCATGGAGACAGTTGTGAATGGTTTGTATATGTTTATTTGTTTTAAACCAAGTCCTCTAGCTGTAGCTCGCTTTAATTCATCTATCCACATACTAAAATTGTCATTACTTGAATTTGTGTTTCAAGTTCCAAATTCTTGAACTCTGTTAGCAAAGCTTCCAGCAAATAAAGCTGCGAGTTCATTTCAGGTTAAAATAGAGAGTCTGAAATCCATAACACATCAGCCAGGGCTTCCTTCAAAATGCAAGTCTTCCCCACCACCATGCACTGTCTATGCAATGTTTAAATAACATCATGGGCCTTCTTTTAACAACTGTCCCTGGTAGAAGCCAATATATACAGATACAGATAGAGATACAGGTACAGAGACAGAGACAGATCATTACAAAAGAGCACACAGGGAATGTGAGGTGGGCGGTAGACCATATGCATCCCAAGGTGAGGACTACGCCTAGTCAGCCAGGGTGGCTGCTATGAGAAACACCACACATCCCTCCAACTCCAGGGGCGGCTCTGAAATCCATCGCAACCCAAGGCCACGCCCTCCAGGGATGCTTCCAGCCACTGACAGTGGGGAACGGGGGCTCCTTAGGCTGGATGATTCCCAGACCTTCTTTACACAGAGCTCTAGGCCTCATCTGCCAGCTCTCCTTCCCGCTCTCCTTCACTCATGATCATACATACCACGCATTCAGATGGGTCTCCCAGCCTCTGCTGGGTCCCTCCCGTTTTCTCTCCTAAGCCTCTCCCCTAATAAAACCCTTGCACGTCTAACCCCATCTTACTCCTATCTTGGCATCTGCTTCCCAGAAGAAAGGAGACAACATCATTAGTATGGGACTTCCCCCAACTTTTAATTAAAACAAAACAAAAAAATCCCTTCCAATTCATCAGGAGTAAATATATGTCTTATCGAACTCTGAAAAACAGCATGGTTATTTAGAAGCCATTATAATGAACTATAAGCAACTCCAAGAGAGGGCCTACCTAATAAATTTTTATGTCCCCACCACTTAGCAGTGCCTGACACACAGTAAATGCACAGGAAGTATTTGTTGAACTTGACTGAACTGAACAGAAATTAGCGCATTTCAGATTTTTTGCACAATGCCAATAAAAGACATGCCATAATAAAAATGATTTTCAAAACTTAATACAGTCCCAAAATGTTGATACTGAATTTCTTGATAATGACAATATAAATGATCTGGAATTAATTTTGTGTCTTCTGCTGAATTTTTCAGATTTTTCTCCAATAAGTATTTATTATTTTTATATCTTTAAAAAACTTTAACACAGTTAACAGCAGAGACAGGACAACAAGGAGCTTGGTCCAGGGGATGCCGCCAGCTCACCTGGCACATAGATGTAAATGCGCCTGCCTTCGATCTCGCTTTCTTCTGTCTGCGTGTGGTTGTAATAGCAAGTGTACAATCCCGTGTGGGCTGCTGAGGCACTGACCACTTCCAGCACCGTCACAAAAAGGCCACTGTTGTTTTCCTCATTTCTGATTTCCACGTTAGGGTTCTCTTCTTCAGACATGGGGTACTGCCAGCTCACTTCGCTCTCCCCAAAGCATCTCAGAGAAAAGGATGAGTTCAGCTGCACAACCTTTTCATCTTCATTTGGGAGGATGGAGGGTAATGAAAGCTGGCAGAAGCTTAGGCTGGGCCCTGTAAAAGGAAACACACTCTGAATAGGATGCCGCCAGAAGGGACGGGCTCACCCAGAGAACTGAGGGAAGCGACAGCAGCAGCTTATACGAACAATGGCCATTTCTACGCAAAAATCCGTTAGCCTGGAAGCCCATGAAAGGCCCCCCATTATAACAGCCACCGCATCTGCTGAGGGCAGCAAAGGCTCCAGAGGCCTCAACAGCACCCCCCGCCCAAGCCCCCGAGAGCCACCCCTCCAAACGTTCAAATGGATGGAGGGCGTTTAATTCCAATTCCAGATTTTAGACTCTTATGGGTGACCATAAAATATCCCAAGACAGCATAAGCTCAAGTCCACATGGCTTCTTTACTGTCCACATTCCCTCCAGAGATCTCCCTCAGCTAGAAATGGGCTGAGAACAGGGGCAGAGAGGCAGACCGAACAAAGCACAAAGCAGATTTGTGCTCAGGAATTACACATCTTCCCTTTCTTACGACGCCCTGGCATGCCTTCTCTCTAATGACTTCCAGAAACCCAAGCTGCACGCTGTGGATTTTCATTCAAAAGTAAGAATAACTAAAACCCTAGAGTGGAAACCTGAAAGTTCATCTTAGAACCGAAAATTGCAGTGTGGCTTCCCCTGCCTGTAAAACCGACAGAACAGATATCGGGACTTCATTAATTATTCATTTACAGTTTCTAATCTCCCCCGGAGCCCAATGTGGGAATCCCACCCGACTTCAGCGTGTGCCCACTGTGCTTCCTGCAGCGTGTTAAGATACAAGTTGTGAGCGCATCTGGGCCACGATCATCTTGTAGATGGGGTATATTTAGCGGGGTTTAGAACTACTAAATCACTGACCTCGCTCAATTCTACCGTAGCCATGTGGATAAGACCTGCAGACACTAACAGGCTTAAGTTAACTCCTCAGACTAGAAAAACATTGGTTTCATGGTAACGTCTGCAATGCCCAGTAAGTAGCTCAACAAATGGCCCCAGTGGCCTCCGCCTGGTAGAAGAGAGAGAGTAATATTCCCCCAGGAGTCAAACATTCTACCAGTCAGATTCCAAGGGAACAGGTGGCTCTCAGATTTTTCAGCAATTTAAGCATCTTCCATTTAAGACAGGTATGACAAGACAGGTATGAGTTCCTAGAAAAGAATTCTCCATGATTTATTTCCTTTGGACATTCTTGAATTTCTCTGACCCACCTCTACTGGAAACCCAAGTCCTAGACAGCGGAAGAGGGTAGTGGGTGAATTTAGACTATTATTTCGAACAACATTCCAACGCCAGGATTATGTATCTACTAAAACTGCCACTGGAAAGCATTCTTTTTTTTTTTTTTTCTTTTTCTCCCCAAAGCCCCCCCGGTACATGGTTGTATATTCTTCTCTGTGGGTCCTTCCAGTTGTGGCATGGGGAGGGCCGCCTCAGCATGGCTTGATGAGCTGTGCCATGTCCGCACCCAGGATCTGAACCAGCGAAACACTGGGCCGCCGCAGCGGAGCGCACGGACTTAACTACTTGGCCATGGGGCTGGCCCCTAGAAAGCATTCTTTTTGAAATGGAATTAGTGCAAAGGGAACTGAAGGATTGTGGTCACTTTAGATAATAGCCTATAATTGTCTACTTCTCTTCACTCTTTTGGATGGTATATGCAGTATATGCCCCCCGAACACAGAACTTAGAGGATCAGGCTTCCCCCAGGACAACAAGTTCAGACAGGACTGGGACCCATACCTGTGAGGAGACAGCCTAAGACCAGGAGTGCCCGATGGCAAGTCCCCATAGTTCTGGAAAACTGCAAAAGTCAAAAGTCAAAAAGAAACAGTGTTAGCCAGTAAAACACCTGGGAGCCTAGTCCTCTGTGTGCTTGCACTATGGGAATGTTGATAGCATCACTGTAGTCCAAAACATACCGGTTTAACAAACACATGGACAAAGAAAACAGTTCAGTGGTTACCAGGGGAGGGGGAGTGGGGCATGGGCACAGGAGGCGAAGGGAGCACCTATGCGGTGAGAGACAAGAAATAATGTACAAGTGAAATTTCACATTGATGTAAACTATTATGAACTCAATTTAAAAAAAAATCTTTAGCTATGAACTTCAAAAAAAAAAAAAACATCCTAGTTTAAGATTCATAGTTAAAACAGTAAGATGCCTAAGAAGAAAGAATCAGATGCCCTGAATAGCCCCCCAGATCATGACAGGAGCCATCTGAAGCTGAAACCCTTTTTGATTGCATGCAGCTTGCAAATTCCAAAGTCTCACTTTATTGTCCTGGAATGTGTCCAAGAGTACAGAAGGATTGTTCCTTTTAAACCATTTAAATTAAGAATGTGAAAAAGAAATAAACATATGTATTTACTCAACTTCCAAACTTGAGCTGTTTTTGCTCAAAATGTGTTGTCATTTGCTTCGCGTCTTGCTACAGAAAGTACATGAAGGTCACATCTTCTACAACCTTTGGAAAAGATGCTTGGCTACAACAAATATCTTTTTTTTTTGGTGAGGAAGATTGGCCCTGAGCTAACATCTGTTGCCAATCCTCCTCTTTTTGCTTACAGAAGACTGTTGCTGAGCTAACAGCCATGCCAAGCTTCCTCTATTTTATGTGGGATGCCACCACAGCTTGAATTGAGAGCAGTGCTAGGTCCACTCTCGGGATCTGAACCTACAAACCCTGGGCTACCGAAGTATGCGAACTCAACCACTACACCACCAGGCTGGCACCATGCAACAAACATCTAAAGTTTTTGCAAGTCCCACTGATAAAGGTCACTTAAAGGATGTCACTCTGTGGTCCGTAGGCCCATCCCAGGCTCAGGCCTGGACTCCCAGCCACCTTCTCCTAGGACCTGCTGCATTCACAATCTGGTTAATCGAGGCCAAGGCCGGAAAGCCCAGGGCACAGGCATGGAAGGAAGAGCGGTAGAGAAAGTGAAGAAGGGAGAGGACAGGGGAGAGGAAAGTGTGACTCCATTCCTGAGTTTCCAAAGGGAGACCACAGGCTCCCATTCGATGGCAGACTGATGACTCGTTTTCACGTTAGGGTTAAAGGTACCTGCAGAAACCACGTTCTCAACTCTGATTTCCTGCAACAAAACCTGGGGAATGGAAGAGAAGGGGAGAGAGAGATCGAAACTGAATGTCCATAAGACACAAACAGGGAACGCAGTGGGCAAGAAGAAAGGAAGGAAGGATAAGGAAAATTAAAGGAGGGAAAAATTAAAGAGGGGCCCAGGTTGCCCTGTGGAAAAACCACTGAAGAGCCATTCTGGTCGGCCCTCTGCAAAGGCCCACTGAGGTCACTGATAAACTCATCTTACCGAAGTCAAGGAAAAGGAACTGTAAAGCGGCTTATGGGTGTTGGGGCCGCCCAGCACCCAAGTTTTAATTGAAGAGGCCCCACTGAGGGGCCCAGGCAGGGGCACAAGCTTTAAGATAACCCATAAAAAATCACGTAAGCATTGGCCTGGACGTACTGGATCCCTGAGTTGTTCAAAGGCCCAACTCATGCAATGGAATGAGTTCGTGAGACTTAATTTGTTCCCTCTCTGACTTTGGAAACTAAGTTGTGTGTACATGATCCTTGAGTAAACTGTCGAAAAAACAAAACAAAAAGGGAGGAATTTAATGTGTGCCTGTGTTTAGCCCTCATTTTTTTCCCTTTTTTTTTTTGGTTGGAGAGGATCCAGTAGATAACAGCCCACTAGTTCCTGGTGGAGCCTGATCACGTAATGTCGCTTTCAGGTGGCAAGGCGCCCTGCTTGCAGAAATCAGCTTTCTGCTTCAATGAATTCTACCAGGAAAACGGAGGAGGAAGAAAGGCAGAGTGTAAGATGGAATGCTGGTAACCAGGCAGGGGGTGGGTTGGACAGGACACAATGATAATTCTGTTTTCTCCAAGACAGGAATGAGAAACCAATATTTACTAAGCCAAAGTTTTCACATGTATGCCATGTTTATTAATAATAAAACTGTGACATATTTGATTTTAAGAAATGCCAGTTGAGGCTCAGAGAGGTTTAGCAAATGACCCAAATTCACACAGCTGGTGGTTAAGCCAGGATTCTAACCCGAAGCCTGTGTGAGGCAAAAGCCATTGCTCTCTCCAATCCACCATATGGTCTCTCTCAAGAGAAGGTCAGTGTTTCAGCCTTGTGTGTGTGCTCCCCTGTCCCCCCCCCCCCACCCCGCCAAACTATTTCCTAATGCAAATTGGGGCCCTGTTTTCCTTCTCTGCTCAGCATAGTGAGAGGAGCACAATTGCAGTGCTGTGAACGCAAATGTATTTTGCACAATGCTGGCTGGCTGGCTGGCGGCTTCTGCAGATCCTGGCATGTGCCCGGGATGCAGGGTGTCCCCACCGCTGCGGTGACGGGCACAGCAGGCCCCAGAGCCAGGCTGGCCAGGCTGATTTACCACAATTAGCAGTAAGGGCCTGTGTGTTTGTACATATAAATATCAGCCTCCCACCGATAATCCACTTAGCGAACTTCAAAGGAACCCTCCAGAGCCAGCTCGATGGCTGGGGTTTTATCACATTTATATCCCTTATTTCTTCAGCAGGGTTTGCCAACACAACGTCTCTAAAGCGTTCCCAAGCTCGAGAGAGGGGCTCGCTGCTCTTACAGGGCCGGCTCTGAGGTGTTTTCTGCCCTGGTTGGGCCCCACCAGATTTCCTTCTGTGCATCCAGATATGGTGGACCCGCTGCCAGCAAGGATTATTTACTGACATCCAAAGTGGGCAATGAAAACAGGGCCTCAGAGCGAGCGATAATGGTGCGAATACTGAGAATCAGCATGTGTTTGCTCAAGATTTCAAACTCCCTTCTCTGATAAGAGTGGTTCCCTGGCTAGGAATCCAGGCGTATTTGTGAAGTTCCACGTCATTACTCATCTGTAACTCTGACAATTTACTGGTGAATAATTGCAGTGTTGCCCTATAGGGAGGTGATGGAAAACAATGGGAGAGAAGAGAGGCTTCCCTGCCGACTGGCCCTGTAGAGAGACTCTTAGGAGTCCGTCTTGCTATTTCCCAGCTCTTTTCTCCTCTAGGAGTAAAAGCTCATCGTTAATCAGGAACCCCAATCCTGGAGCTTATCCAAAAGTCAGATGTGCAAATATAAGTCACTGAGGTTACAACTTCAGAGACACACGGCACTTCATGAGTCAGCAAGAACAAACCACTTTGCACGGAGGAACGATGGACTTCATCCAAAGCTTTCTAAAAAAAAATCATCATTTCTCTCATGCCAATCTGTGTTGGACTTCCTCTATAATCACAACTCAGAAAGCATTGCCACAAGTCAGAGACACAAAGGGGGAAGAGATCTCTGCCACGTCCACCCTCAGGCAAGTGACTTGTGGTTCTGTCCCCCATTCTCTTGTCCTTCTCTCAAAAGATATGATGAACATGGCATCGGACTGGGCTCTGATCTCATATCTGACAAGTCCACCTCTCTGAACCTCAGTCTCTTCTTCTGTAAATCAGGACCAATAACGCCTGACGTCCTGGCCTGCCTTACCGCAATGTTGTAAAGACTACATTACATAGCTTCATGGCAAGTGCTTCAGAAACTGCAGCTATTGGTTTTCATACAGACTCTTTTTTCTGCAGCCTCCTAAGATGTTTTAGATGAGAGGGACCTCAGAGTGGCTACTTCAATTTCTACCTACTGAGAAAGTCAGGCCCCAGAGGCCATTCGACTTGCTCTGCATCACTTGCACAGTGGAGAAGCAGATCTGAACTCGGATTCTGTGACGGCCTGGTGTAGCTATCAGGACTACTTTAAGTTGAACCACAAGATACAGTCACATAAACAGAGAAACAAATCTGTTTGCAGCCACTAACAGGTTGCCATCTCTGTCCCTGCAAACAGAAGTGAAGAGCCATTAATCGTGACTCTATCATCGAAGACAACATGCTAGACAGTAAACAGAGAGCAAGCGACACGAGAGCAATTTCCAGATGTAAGAGCACAACATTCTTCGCATGAACCCAGAGAGCCAGCTCCCCGATCACCAACCGCACAATGCATCCTGCTGCACAGCCACTGAATATTGAATTTCACCCCACCCTGGCATGATTAAAGGCCACACGAGACTCTCTCACAGTCCCAAAGCCACTGATGACTCCAGGATTCAGATTTCCGAGGGTCAGTTAATTTCAGCTCTCCTAAGTTAATTCTAACTGTGAAAATTACATATCCTGTTTTTTTCCCTGTGACAAATGTTCTCCTCAGTCTCGTAACTTCAGCCCAGGGGATCCAAATGCTGGTCTACACTGGTGGCAACTTCACCGAGGCTGTGTTTACCAGGATCTGCACCCCACCAGAGCCTGTTCTGTTATTTTGAGCTCCCTGAGCTCCATTAGACATTCCAGTGATGGGTGGGGGCTGGAGTATTTTTACACGGGAGCATTTTATGGGACAATCTGAGCTCATAAACCCTTCTGCTCTCCCCGCACCAGATATTTAACCATGGGAGACTAAAGTGACACTTCTTTTAATTGTCACCAAACTGGTGTGGCTCCTAATGGGACAACCTTAGGTGCAGCAGCTTTTAGTAGACTTGAGTTCCAGATCACCAAGCCCCTGACACTGGGACTTCAGTCATAAAGGGAAATGCAAGTACCCTCAGAAATAATCGGATGTGGTGGATCAGCGCTTTGCTCATTACATAAATGCAAAGGATTAACAACTAACGCGAAAGACTACACGAAAGTCCACAAAAATAAATGATTCTCGCAGCTTCATAGGAAAAGAACACCAGTCAACATCTGTCACTTGGTCCTAGCTGGCGAAAAACCGCATCTTCCTGACGCCACGACCCATTCCCCGCAGAGGGTCGTTGCAGTTCTCAGGTATGACCAGCAGATGGCAGTGTTGGCCCGAGGACCTGGGACCCAGAGTTTGCGGGGACGCAACGCCGCAGAAGTTCTGTGCTAAAAATTTATGTCCCAAATCTTAACTTCCAATCTCTTCCTTTCTTGGATTGTACTTTTAGGCTTCGTGGTGACCTCAGTTCAAAGCCCGCAGAATGGAAGCAGGAATAGGGAAACTGCTGCCGAAAATGCTTAACTCTCTCTCCGCGGGGCCCCAGGAGAATTCGGCGAGGGACAGACACCATCGCCATCACCATCACCATCTTCTCTGGGAGCGGATCCGCTGGGGCAGCGGGGCCTCGGGAGCCAGGAAAGCGACGCTGCCATTCCAGGCCGCAGAAGGTCAGCAGGAAAAGCCGCTCAAGAGGAGGCTGGGGGGGCTCAGGGTTCTGCCCCTCTCGGAGCTTCCGCCCACTCGGAGGAGGGAGACCACCTGGGCCGCGACGGGTGGGGGCCGCGACGCCGCTGCCCGGCCGCGCTGCCCAATCTGTTCGCACACCATTGTCACCCCTCGTAAACCCGCCCGGCGGGGGCCGCGACGGCTGCGCAGCCCGAGAACCGCGGGCTGATTGGAAACGACTGTTCCCGTTGCACAATAAGGCAGGGTCGTAAACAAACAAACAGCAAGAGGCCGCCTGCGCCGCAGGAGAACGTGCGAGGGGCTTGGAAACAAAAGTCGGCCACTCCTCCTCCGACAGCGCCCGGGACCCTCCAACCTCCGCCTCCTCCGCTTCTCCCACATCTAATGGTTATGACACCCCCTCTCTCATCCCCAAACCCGGGGACCTCCGCCCCCCTCTCGCCCACCCAGCGCCCCTTGGGCCCACACAGTGCCTGCGAGGCGTCTATTCGAGGTCTCCCGAAGAGGGGAAGGTGACCCAGGTGAGTGGCTCTGAGCCCCCGGGTCTCTGCGCTGCGCTCCTCAGCGGCGCCGACCGCCCGAGGCTGCCGGAGAGGGGACCGCGCCCCGGGAGCCCGCTAGAGGGCGCGGCCGCCCCGCGCATCTTACCCGGCTCGCTCGCTGGCTCGCCCGCCTGCCGCTCAGCCTCCGGGTCCCCGACAGCGCAGCCGGGACCGCCGCTCGCCCACCTCCGCCGGGGAGGTTCCGCGCTGCCCCGTTCGGCCTCCTGCCCCGCCACACCCCCACGAACACGGCGCGGGCCGCTCCCCCTCCCGCCGCCTCCACGCCCCCGGCGGCTCGGTCCCCTCCGCGGTGGTGGCGACGACCGCCCGTTCCGGGGTTCACGCGCCCCTGCCCGCCGCGGTCCTGGCCTCAGAGCTGCAGCGGCCGCTGCGCCCCAGGCGCGACGCTCGGCGTTTGTATTGTTTTCAGCTGAGACCTGAGAGGGGCCGGGCAGGGTGGAGGGAGAGGGGCCGGGGGGGTTTAGGGTTACAGTCGCGCGCCAGCGCCTCCTATGGGCCCGAAAGCGACACAGCCGCGGGCAGCTGCTAGCGGAGAAGGCCGGGGCGAGCCGAGACGGCGCCCCTTCGGCTTTAAGAACCCCGCATCCCCGGTGCCCCCCGCTTGCCCGACGCTCGCCTCTGCCGTGGCTGCCCAGCGCCCACTAGCGCCTGCCTGCGCCCTTCGCCCCCCTTTCACGGGGAAGCGGAAAACTGCGGCAGGCAGGGAAGGAAGCGCCCCAAGTCCGAGGTCCTCTTTATCCCCTCCAATCTACATTTCCAACTGATCCCTGGCTCACTGTTCAGTTTAAAACAAAAGGAAATGCCGCCGAGCCACTTCAGCAAAATTGGCACCGGCAGAGCCTGGACTAGGGCGCGGTGGGGAAAAGCAATTTGCCCCGACCCTACATCCCACGCGGGGGGCGCGCCCTCAAGACCTCCCCCAACTCTAGCCCCGACGGCTGATGCTGCGCGCGGACCCCGCGAGGCTGGACGCGAGGGACGCCGAGAGCCGCACCTTTAGGTCACCGAGCAGGCTTTTAGCTTTTCCCCCAGAACTGCCACTTTTCCATCAGCAACATGTAACCCCGTCGCAGCTCCCCGGAGGCCAGAGGGAGTCCCACCCGCTGGGATCTGCAGGAAGACGCTGGCCACCACGTCCCCAGAACGCGTCTCGGCGCTGCGCGCCGCCCACGGCCGGTCCCCAGGAGGCACAAAACGGGCCCGCCTCGGCGCCAGACGCGTTTGCAGCTGGAAAGCCCGGCCCGATGCCCCTCCCCCTACACCCCTCCCAGCCCGCGCCCCGGGAGGAAAGTGGACCTGGGGCCAGGAGCCGGGGCTCTGCTTCGGGTCCCTCTTGGTCTGTCTAAAGTCTGGTGCAAGGGCCGAGGGTCAGCTACGGGCTCCCTCCCGGTGCCTCCCCCCACCTCCTCTTTCTGCCTTCCCCTTCGCTCTCGGGACTCCAATCCTGGAGCCCAGCTACACTTGAGTCAAACCAAAAGCAAGACTGTGCAAGCAGGGACTGACCAGGGCATCGTCAAAGCGAGGCTTGTCGGGCCCTCGCTTGTCGGGGAGCGGAGGAAGGGCCCCCTGTGTCGTGAGGATTGTGGAAAGAAGGAAGCCGAGGGTGAAGGAAAAGAGGAAAGGGACGCAAAACAGGGTCCGGGCGGGTCAGACGGGGTTTGGAGGAGTGTGGTGGACGTAAAAACCCGAGCCAGCGCGGCAGCGGATGGGGTGCGCACGCCGGGGACGCCCCTTCCTCCCCTCCAGCCGCCCGGGGGTCTCGCTGGGCTCTGAGTTGTTAGTCTGATGAGCTGCGCGGCTGACTGTCGTGCCCCGTTTGCCCTGGATGGCTCTCTCTGCTCTAAAAGACTGTCTGGTTCTGGTCGGCAGCGACAGAGGCGAAGCGAGTCGGTCCAAAATGTTGAGCAATTCGGCTGCGGAGCCAAAAAGCCATTTCCCACACTGCCCAGCCCCGGGCTTTTCCAGGCAGCTCGGCTGGCGCGGGGCAGTCGGCACCTGGTAAGGGCCATCCACACCACCTCTCCAGCCCAGGTTTGCCTCTCACCCTCGGAGGAGTGAGTGGCAAGTCCTTCCAGGCATTCTTTCTGCACATCCTGAGGTCTTAGCCAGGGCTGGAGCAAAGTGCAGGACCGGCGCTCTGGTTGCGGGAGACACCGACAGCGGACGGACAGACAGCCCAGCAATTCCTTCCCAGCAGAGACGCGAGGCCAGGCCACTGGCAGCTCCGCACACCTGGCCAGGCGGCCGGGGCTCCTGGCCCCCTCGGGCAGCCGCACTCGGGTCGGGCCACACTCCCTCTCGCTTAGAGCTGGCCGCGACCCTTTCCGAACAGAACCGCTGATCCCAGTAGTTTCCGAGCCAAGAGGACGCCGCCCGCTCCCCTGGCGCTGCCGGGAGAAGTTAATCTCACGTGTAAAAGCCGATTTCCATGGGGATAGACGGCGGAGGAAGGAGGGGCGCGAGGAGACGGCTAGGGAGCGGGCAGGGAGGCCGACACAGGGAGTGGAATAGAGAAAGGGGGCACTGGAGAGGATGAAGCAGGCAGGGCGAGCGCAGGCGGCGAGTGCCACGCATCCCCGCGCGGAAAGGGGCACGCGAGGCGGGTCCAGGGCTCGGGTGCCTGGAGGGAGGAAGTGTGGGAGGTTCTCTCCCACCTTGCTTTCTCACCTGGGAACCAAGTTTCTCCGTTTCGAGTCGTCCTTAACTTCCCCTAGAAGTTCAGCACTTTTCTGGCGACCTTCCTTCCTTCCTTCCTGCGGCCGGGACTGGGCAGTAGCAGAGCCCCGGGGCTTTGCAGAAACGATTTCACCGAGGAAGGGGGCGCTCCGAGACGGGTGGGGGTGGGGACCACAGCGCACAATGAGGGCCCCTTGGAGCGCAGTTCGAAATTCCTCAAATCCCAGTTGCTGGAATGCGAGGCGACGATGACTTCTTTACTCGAGGCCAAATGTGTTTGTCATTACTCCAGACCGCCTGCCTGCCCGCCCGCCCGCGCCGCCGTCGCCCCCGCGCTGGGGCGCGCAACCCGAGCGCACTGCGGGGCCGGCGCCCGCTCTCCCTCGCACTTCCCTGATCCCACAAACCACTAGGGAGCTCCCCAAGTCCGCGCCGCGTCTGCTTATCTTGCAGCCGCCACGGTTGTGCTGCGTCTGGCCCCAGCTCGCACCCGGCGCAGCGCCGTCCAGTAATTACGCGCCCTCGGCCGGCGCCATGTGCACCCGGCGGGCACCCAAGGTCCAGCCGTCTCCAGCCGAGCCTTTCACGCCTCCTCTCCCCGCAACCCCCTCCGCGCCCCACTCGATGCTCCTCTCTCCCCACCTCCCCCGGTCCTCCAGCCGCGCTCCACACCACCGGCTGCAGCGCTGTCCCGCCAAACCGCGGGCGAGGAATGAAAATACTCATTAAAAACCTGTCGCCTTCCAGGACCCACTGCCAAGAAGAGGGCAAACACCTCTGCCCCCACTCCCAGCATTACTTGGTGCTGGTCCCAGTATACACGAATACCACCCCCAACCCTAAAAGAAACCTCAAAAATGTAAGCCTGAACAATTTCTTTGGGAGGCCATAGAGTTGTTAGAAAAACACTGCTTTTAAAAATAGGTCTGGAAAATGTGTTTTTTTAAAATCCCTAGACTTTCGAACTCTATGGTTATCTTCCCTCCAAGTGAAGTTTATTCAAAATAAATTACTCTCTAGACACACTGCTAGAATTCAATTCCAATTTTTTTTTTCTCATCGCCCAAAGTTTGAGTGAAGTTACTTCACTTCCAGCCCAGAGGGCCTGATCAGGGACTTGTCTTAGAAGCAAAAATCATTTTTTCTCCTCCCTTACCTTCTCCTTCTCTGTCAATTCGCAATGAAAATCCTACATATGGAGTAAAAAGTGTGTCCACGGCCTCCAGTCCTCTCCTGGAGTCCCCTCCTCTGTTTCTCTCCCTCTAGCTCCAACTGTAATGGGCTCAAAAACCGCTTTTTGTAATTGATTCAATGTTATAGTCCATCCTTCTAAAACTAATCATTTGCTCTAAGTAAATAGCTGTCAGGAAATGAAGCCCCCCCCTCCCTTGGCCTCTTCAAAATAAAAGTTTCCCTCGAACTCTGTGCGCTCTGAATCTCCCAGCCTCCAGATTGCGCCTTCGCTTTTTGCTCTTACGCAATCAGGGGGTCCAGCCCCAACCCCCAGACTTCGACAACAACTGGGGGGCGGGGAGAAGCAGACCAGATGGGGTGGGGGTGGTGGAAGGGGGCGGTGTTGATGCTCTGCCGGGAAAGAGGTTGGGGAAACTACAAGCTGCCCATCATTTCCAGAATGAGTTTGCCTCTTGATATGGAGGATATTTTCCTACGCTGCTATATTGCTATGTATTCTCTTCGAAAGGAAAAAAAAAAAAGAACACGTAAAATTGCAGTTAATGCCCAGAGAGAATATAAATGTGGAATTGAAAAGTGTCCCTTCTGTAGAAATTCCTAGCCCAACTAGAAGTGGGGCCTTCGGGAGAGGTCTCCAAGCGGTGGTGTCGTTTTGAACCTGGGTTTTTTTAGGGAAAAGTGCCGTGTAGTTTCTAATCCTTTAATGGGATTAGGCAAACTGTTGAGTCCAATATGAAGATGATGGGGGGTTTTGTTTTGTAAAGGTTTTGAAAGAGGGTAAAAGAATTGAGGGTCTGCGTAAGTTTGGGACATCCTCCGACAGAACGACCTTTACTCCCTTGGAGCCACTTATCTTGTTGTGCCTTTGTTTTCGGGGTTATCTGGGCGAGGTTGCCCTGGCTTCTGTCACGCACACAAAAAGGCTCAGGCTCGGGCGTTTGGGGAATCGTCTACCGCAAGCCTGACACCTCCGCGTTCAGGGGGAGGGTGCACGCTGACCCTCCCCGCGCTCCCTCGCGCTGCGTGGGTCAGACCCTGCCACCGCCCTGGGGTTGAGAGCGGAACCCCAAACCCTGTGTCCCAGGCGCCGGGCCACAGACAGCGCCGGGAGAGAGCGATCCTGGTCACGAAGGAAAGGGGGCGCTGATGCTCCAGGAACGAGACCTGGGCGGAGTGGGGCTTCTGAGCGAGGGCGGGGGAGGGGAGCGCGTTCACCTTCCCCGCCTTCTCCAATTTTGAATTCTCTTGTTGGATGGAGGGGGCCATCCTCTATCCCTACCCCCACCCCCCACACTCTCAGAATGGCCAGGGCGGCCAGGTCGAGACTTGAACGTCGGACAGCCTTCACCTTCTCCGTCATCCGGAGGGTGGACACGGGATAGCCGGCAGGGGAGCGTCACAGAGAAGTCTCCGAGGGATGCTGTCCTTAACTGGGACGGACTCCTGGGGTGTCAGGCTCGGGAAGACGCCTGGGGCTGGGCCAGGGGCCCCATTCCCCCAGCCCTTCTGCGCGCCGCTTCTCGTGCATCTTCAGTTCGGGCGACTGCACTGCTCACTATTACTTCCACATGTTCCTTCAGGAAATCATGGAAGGCAAATATATGAACAGCCCCTTGTTCGGAATGCTAACAGGATACCGTAATGTTTGTAGATAATGAACGGGGACTAAAGACCCCCCCCAAAAAATCAGAATGCGGAATAATAGGAAAAAGCGGATGGGGCTTTCATGCTGTTAATAAAGACAAGTGAGACCTAAGTTTTTATACCAAGTACCCAAGAGGGTAGGAGGCGAGGCAGGGAGCCTACCCAGGAAGACCTGCTTTCCTGCCGGGAAAAGGCCAGCCGGGTCGCGCTGGGATCTCCCGAACGCAAGGCCCCAGCGCACCCCGCCCACAAATGGTAACTTCACAGTTCATTTCAGAGACACTTAAAGGGGCCCGAAGAGCTGGCTGGGCGGGGGTGTCTTCGAGCCCTAACTCCTCGCGAGTTTAAAGCAGAGGGAATGGATGAGCCAGGGAGCACCCAGTTGTCCTTCTGGTAGTAATTACCTGCCTAATTTGAATGATGCCTTTGTTATGATCATTAACAAACATTTGCTAAAGGTTTCCATGTGTGACATTCCAGAAGGTTTAAAGGCCTGGGGAGCTGACTCCCGGGAAAGCGCACCGGTGGGGGGTGGCGTAGGGAAGCAAATGGTTGGGGAAGATTTCTCCGAGTCTGGGCAGAGCAAAGATGGAGAGAGGTCAACATCTTCCTCCCGTGCAAAAGCAAAATAAATCCAGTGGTCAGGAGCAACCTCGGGGCTGGAGGCCCTAGAAAAGAGGCGGTTCGTTCCTGAAAACGAGTCCTGCCCCCCGCCGCCCCCACCCACCCGCCCCTCCCACTGCTCATAGGCGGGTTTGAATCGTGCTGTCCGCCCTCCTCCGCTGGTCCCCGGCTTCCAGAGCGGTCGGGTCTGCGCGCATCAGTCAGCCCGGGCGTCGGGGGGAGGTGGGCCGGGCCGAGCCGCGCTCTTCCCGTGTTGTTCTAAGATCCTTCCAGATTGCTCCCCCGACGCCCGGGGTCCTGGGTGGTCCCGGAGCAGCAGCGGGCGAGAAGCGCCGCCTGGTCTTTTCTCGTCTTCCTCGGCTCCTGCCCGGGGCACTGCGGGGGACCAGGCTGCCCTGTGCGCCCCGAGGAGCGACCTTTGCCGGCCTGGGCAGCTGTGCGAGCATCCCAGTCTGCACTCGGGTTTTGAGTTTTTCAGCCTCTTATGTTTTTCCTTGAGGGATCGTCACGGGGTTAAGAATGAGAGTTTTCTCCCCAAACCGGGAGTCTGGGCGGCTGCAACCCTCTGGGAAGGAAGTCCAACTCCGGAATGGGGTTGGGCCGGGCCGTTTGGGGAAAGCGGCGGTTCTGGCGTGGCCTCGCGCGTCTAGGCCCGCAGGAGACATAAAATTGGGTGCAAGGGTATAAAGGGATGTGTAGAGCCAGCCATCCAAAAGAGGGCCCCGCAAATTTGTTACAACCGAATCAAAACGGTCTGAAACAAACAAACAAACAAAGTCTGCCCCTGCCCCGCCGCGCGGCCTGGCTCCTTGGGCTGCCTCCTTGGCCCCCACTCCTCCGTAACCGCTTCTGCCGCTCCGGGCGTCACACCTTCGGCTTCGGTGGGCGTTCCCGCTGAGTTGGCTTTTTGTTTCTTCTCTACTCCTCCCCTGCTCTCCAGCACCACCCCCCAATTCTACTTTCCTCGGAGAATTCAGAAGGTTTTTTGCTTTAGAAGACTTATGGTTGTAGCAGTTATCAAAGCCGTTAGTTGTGAAAATCACATGTAAACAAACTTGCGAGAAGTTGATGGGGTGGGGGCGCATTTCTAGCTTCCTGATTTGAAAATGAAGGGCCTTTTGGTGGTCTGCAAAAGAAAACGGCGCTACTGCCCTTTCCCCCACCCCCTTCAGTTCCTGACCGCGCCTGCAGGAGCCCCCTCCCTGCACCCCGCGAAGGGACCTTCGTGGGGAAGGCTCGGAGGACGCTTGTGGATGTGGCGCACAGACCTGGGGTCCCCGTGCGGAGACTGGCGAGGACTCCGCCCTTGCCTCGGGTCTGCCCCAGCTGAGGTTTGGAAGAGGCTCGAGCCTCTTCGCACGCTCAGGATGCAAAGAGGCCCAAGTCTTGGAAAAGGAGGAGAAAACCTTCTCCAGAAGGGTCCATCCGGACCCGCGTGGGTACCTTAGGGTGACAGTTCTCTCTCCAGGACTCCTGGAACACCTCCTCTTCCTCCCTGTTGCTGGATGAATCTAAGGGTGCTGCGTCTACTCTGGGTTCTTTGAGGCTCTCTCTCCAGAGATGCGTCTCCAGAGAGAAGTGGAAAGTAGTCCCCTGTGACTGGTGACCAGCTGCACCCGCTCCAAGGGTTTCTAACCCCGCAGACTGCTCACTGACCTGACAGAGGACCAGAGATTGTGAGCCCTGTTTCGTGGCCCAGCCCAGCCCGGGTGGGCCTCCACCTCTCAGAGCTGGCAAAGATGTGGTCCAGGTGGACCTCCTCAGGGTCTGGATTTTTTGATGCCCTTTTCCAACAAAGGGGGGGAGAGAGAGAAAGAGAGAGAGAGAGCAAGACTGCACTGCTTCCTCGGTCTGGGGGTATTTCTGTGCCTCCTACTCCCCTCCTTCTCTTTAGGCCTTAGCTTTTAGTTACTTTTAATTTGAAAACCCATGTGAGGGGAGGGGGAGGGAATGTGAGATTGGAGGTCTGCTCTCTATTAGGGGCCTCAGCCATCCCGCTTTCCAACACACAGCTGTGGCTTGGGAGGGGAGGGAGGGCTTGCTCTGTTTAGGTCAGCCTGACTGAAGAAAGGGCCTTGTCCTCTGGAAGTCCCAGGAGTACAGCAGGGCCCTGTGATGTCAAAAAAAAAGAGAAAGAAAGAAAAGCTTCCAGCAGAAAGGTGTTGTGGAGTGGAAAGCCAGCGGAAGCTGGGTTCCACAATTACGTTAACTACAGCACGTAAGCCTGAATATGAGCCACATTATTTAATCAGGATATCATCTTATGTAATCCCCGAGACAACGCTGTGGGTTGTGCGTGATTACTCCCATTTAACAGATGAGCAAACCAAGTCAGAGGCGTTAAGCAATTTGCCTACAGCACTGCCTGGGTCTGCCTGACCATGTCCTGGTTCCAGTTACTGTGTGACCTCGTCAAGACAGGCCCTGTCTCTGAGCCTCAGTTTCCTCATCTGTACAAATGTCTACATTATGTCCCTGGATCGTGAAGATTAAATGAGATTATGTATATGAAGCCCAGGAAGGAGCTGAATAAATGTTCACTTTCTCTTCCTTCTTCAGGCTTTTCCACAGGCACAATCACTGTCACACTCATCCCCAGCTCCCTTGAATTGGCCTCAAGAGCTGCGTGAAGGCCAGTCTAGTTTTCTCTTTCATATTGTCAATTAACGGTGCATGGGGTGCATCTTGGTTCCCAGCTATTACCCTCAATGTCTCAGGCCCTCCCAAAAAATGAACCCCAGGCAGGAAGGATCGGAGAAAGCAATGGAAATCAGAAGACAGGTCTGGCATCACTACCCAGGGGGGCTGTAAGGAAGCCAGGAAGGAGGGCCTCAGCCTCGGAGAACCTAGGGCGAAGACCAGCGAGGGAACCCTGCGAG